CAAAAACCATCACATCCAAAATCCAAGATGCAATTCCTCACAACCCTTCTTCTGCTGGCTACCTCTGCCATCGCAGCTCCTGTCGCTATCACTGCCAGGCAGTCCAAGCACTTCCATCTTAAGTCTACCGGTGCAACCAACGAAAATCACAATAACCTATATGTCTACTCCTACCACACGGGCGCAGGTCTCAGCGATGCTGTGCTCACCAAGGATGCCAGCATAGCCAGTTCTATCTATCTGAATGGGACAAATGCACTCGTCGATTTGCAGACCGAATTCACTTGGGGACTGATCGCCACTGGCAACACCAACTATGGCTGTGAGTATCGCCACATACTTTGGAAAATTCTTCTGTGACACATTTCCGGGCTGGACTAACCTGATATTTTCTTTTTTAGCTTGGGAACCTATCGTTATCAACGCCGGCAGCGGCGGCAGCGCAGGATACTCCATCAACAGCGACAACACCTTCCAATGGTCGGAACGCAGTGGCTTCGGTGGCTGGCTCGGTAAGAAATCCCGCGTCTTTTTTTTTTGGTCCTCATTTTTAAGACCATGGCATTAACATCTCCACAACAGTCTGTGATTGGTACCACAATGCGCCCCAGCTCTTCTACTTGAACCGATACTACACCCCCACCATCCCTTCCAGCTGCTCCAAGGTCCAGTTGACGACCGAATATATCTAAATTTCCACACGGTCGCTTGGGGTGATTTCGTCTCCTTTAATGGCACTTAATGATCAACGGTCGGGAGTCAGGACCTCCTAATGTTTACTAGTCCATAGCGATTTCAGCGAATAATGAATAAGAAATGCTTGCTTTCTTGCTATGTACATTCTGCTAGTTCAAGACGGGGATATCAAAAAAAAATACACTAGCAGGAGAAAAGATCGGAACACCGACCAACCGCGTGACATCATGTTTCAACGTAAAGCGTTTCCCTTTTCTTTCATCGTCGCGCCGGGTCATGAAGCTGTAATTCCTGCGCTGGGAGCACACGAGTTCTCGTAATAGCGCTTGTCCATTCCAGCCTGCAAGCGCGCTTCTTCGTTAAATGGTCCCCGGATCGGACCCTTGAAATGCTTCTGCACATTCGACCGGAAGACCTGAACAGGATCTGTCCCCTCCTGGGCACAGATCCACGTCAACCACCGGTGGCCAGTAGTGACATGTGTGATTTCGTCGTTGTGAATAATCTCCAGCGTCGCCACACTCTCACTGTCGCCAGCTTTGCGGAACTTCTCAATCGTCATGGGGTTGACATCCAGGCCTCGGGCTTCGTGCACCAGAGCGATAATACTGATTCTCGCTCGGAGGTCGTACGCAGTTTCAGTTGCCGATAGCCACAGACTGTGGTGTACTGGGAGAGAACCAAAGCTAGATCCCATCTCCTCAAGTCTGGTCCGGAGGAGGGAGAAGTGCTTAGCCTCGTCGTTCGCGACCTTCAGCCAGTCGTAGAAGTATGCGCGTGGAAGCTCTTGCGACGTTCCTTCTGTTTGGAATGTCGCAAAGCGAATGCAGATATCAATAGCCAGATCGATAGCCCACAGTTCGATATTGGCTAGCGCATGGAGCATGGCAATACGGCTCTTCAAGGTCCCGCCTCGTCCCGACTTGGGCATGTGGCCTGGATCAACGGTTTCCATTTTCTCGCGTGGTGGCTGGTCAGGCGCAGCGACAGTGCCGCTACCAAGTGGCATTGGTGAATCAGAGGCCTCTCTAGCGGTGAAAATAGAGAAAAGATGCGTAGCCAGCTCGATCTTGTGCTCTGGATTAGCGGTATTGAGAACGTGAGCGGCCCAGTCACACAGTGTCGCGTCGTCACCGAGATAAGTTGCCATGCCGGGATCCTCCCGACCCACAGAAGCAGAAGCAGAAGCAGAAGTAGGAGTAACAGTAGTAGCAGGAGCAGCAGCCTTCTCCGCAGGTCGTGGGTGCTTGAGCTTGACTTTCTCACTAACAGGATCGACACTAGCAAGCGCCACACTAATCCTATCCTCGACGGGGAAATCCAACGCAATGAACTCGCCGCGCACATCCACAGGGAACGTGCAGGCCTTGATACCGACACTCGATTTGCCAGTCTCTACATTAAAATCATATGCATGCCACGGACACGACACGACATACGCCGAGTCCTCGATGTCAACTGAGGAGTCGGCCATCGGACCGCCGGCATGTGGGCATTCTGCCTCCATGGCATAGTACGACCAGCCGTCATTGGTCTCGTTGGCTTTCAAGCTTGATTTGTCGATCGTCGGTAGCCGGAATAAGACCACCTTCTTGCCTGTGGTCAGGCGGACCACATATCGCGCCTGCGTGAAGTCTGATAGTTTTCCGCAGTTGATCCACATCTTGATTTTGGCAAGTGTCGCTTAAATGATGTTTGGCGTAATTAGCAGGATTTGTTTGAGGCTTTTCGCCTCGATTGATTTTAACGATCACGTGACGGTGTGTATTATGGCCCCACCTTTCCCCTGCGCATTTATATAGGGCCGTTTATACAGGGGCACTGATATAGGGGGTGTATGGCTTGAATTTTTAGCCCACCTTCAGTTGCTATCTCGACGATTGTTCAACGATTTAGGAGAACTAATATCCAGGCTGTCGAATAATAAATCATCGAGGGCAAATCTTTGGGCTAGCACGGGCTTCGGAGCCGCCACCATCATCCCCCGCCGTGTTATCCTTGAAAGGGGGAAAGTGACCTGTCCAACCCTGCCCATTTTGACTGTTACTGTAAACCCCCCTATAACGATAGCGGATATAACGATTAAAATTTGGTGCTTGAATTGATAAAAAATCATTGAGACCTCGATAGTCGTTAATTCACCCTCTCTCCCACGCAAAAAAATCGTTGTATCCAGGGGTTCATACGTAATTTTCAATCAATTCTAACCGACTAAATACCTCGCGGTCAATCACGTGACTTATACCTAGTTTCAGCTGATTAAAATGCTGGCTCTACGAGACAAGCTAATTAGTACACGTGATAGACATAAAAATTAATTGAAACAATGAAATTAGGGGTATAGAGGTAGGGTGATGTATGTTAGGGACTTTTCTTAGAGTATAAATTTGTATATAAACCAGAAATTTGTGTATATTAATATATGGCACCTTGATGTAACGAGTATTCGGATATAATATATCATTATAGATAGGTTTTATTGTACTTCCATCCTTTTATATTTCAAAGAGATATGAAAAAAACTTTCACAATACTAATTTCCCTATTATAATTTGCTATCGTCAGCATTAATCTTCTATTTAACTAGTGTAAATTATAGATGTAAAATACGTAATTAATATGTTATGCCGAGGTGAATACAATACAATTGAGGGTGTTACCGTAACTTCAGTAAAACCCATATATAACGAATTAATTAATACATGGTGAAAGATTTGTTAAATCGGGTCCTATATATAACTAACTAACATATATAACATGTAGTTTTTCTAGTTAACATACAAATTTGTACTGTAAAAAAAGTCCCTAATATCACTATACCTCTATTCCCCTAATTTCTTCGCTTCTAGAGACCTTTTATGTCGATTAAGCGCACTAATTAACTACTCTCGTCGAGCCACTTTCTGGGAGGTGGCATTTATTTGGTTAAGATTTGTTGAAAAGCCCTTAATATAACGATTCTTGTATGGGAGGTATTATGAATTAACTTCGAAGTAGTGAGAAAGTTTCGTTATTACTATAGCGGTTTAAATGAAGCACCAGCTTTATTTTGCTAAAACAGGGTATTCGTTACATCCACGTTCGTTATAAATAGGGCTTATTGTACTAGCAATACATATAACGTATGTGCAAAGAAAAGTGTATTTAATTAGGAATTATTTGAAAGGTCATTATAGCTAGGTACATATGTAGTTAGTAAGTCACATCAGTCAATCGAAAGAGCTGAAAGAAAAGAGATCTGTATCAAAGGATAATCAGATGAGACATAATCGAACACCATCAATGGTAATAATATATCATGCTCCGTAGGGCATGTGAAAACTCTGCAGGGATAGGTGTTGGTGTTGGAAATATCCTAAAAATTGGAGTGTATTGATGGTTTTAACAACGTCATGTGGTAATTAAAATCAGTATTGTCAAGTTCGCAATAAATTTCCCGAGTTCCCCTTTCTTCCCAGTCCAAAAAATCATATCTTATATTAATGAACCAATCATACAGCTTGGGCAGGATTAGTTGGTTAGTTGGAACACCAAGAAGATTGATTGGAAAATGAACAGATAGCGGTGACGGCACTATTGTAGACTCGAGCGCAGGTCGGCGAGTAATCTAGTCCCAACATGCAACACGGGAAAGTAAAAGCTCACTCATGACCGTTGGCGTCTATAGCATTTCCTTTAGTGGTTGAATGACCCCCCACGAACGACCAGGTCAAAAAGTGTGATTGAGGACTGCAGCGGACTTAGACGCCTAGTTCCCCAAACAATAAAGTGTGGACCTCGCTTGTTGGTCTCAATTAATAGTTGCGACCAGGAAAGTGTGTCGCAAAAATTTCCCTCATCAATTTAGAATACTATTTGATTCTAATATCTAGGCTTAGTTGAAAGCCATTTTGCATTTACAATATAAATTCATTTGTGACTTGGATTAGCTTACGTGAAGAGTGTGAAGTGTTAATTGTTGAAAAAATACAGTGTTGTTGTTGTTGGTGTTGGTGTTGGGTGTTGGTATTCATCCCGTCTGTGATTGCCTTCCCAAGCCACTACGATTCATCAAAGCACACCTGAGCACATTCTGCGACAGGGGGGTTCGACAAGGTCGAGGAGAAATAATTTCTATTCCGCTCATTTATTCTGCTCGTCTCGCTCGAAATTCCAAACTTTTCACTTTTCACTTCACTCTTGATTATCCAGAGGCCTGCACAAGTGACGGTGCCCAGGTGTTTACTCTGCCTTAGGTGAGATGCGGCTAGCCAAATCTAATGCTTAACTAAATACTAACGCTAACCACAGAACACTACGTGAGAATGGATCGTGGTTATCCTAACCATCCGATCAAATGGGGGACATATCGAGAGGGTGTACGGTCCCAGCTGCAAAGATTTGAGTCCCTGCCACAGGATGGTATCGCATTAATGCAGTCTTATCAGGCTGTCCTTGACAACGATGAAACTTTCACCCAATACTTCTCCGACGAACCACTCGAAAGTTACAGGATCGAGACGCGTCTAAGGGAAACATTGGGCATTCCTCCTCCATCTTTATCTGACTCGGAGAAAAATCCCTCGATTAGCTGGGTCAACATTTTCCGACACGGCAGTTTCGAAAAACAAACTGACGGCTCCTACCACTGTTACGACCAAGGGAACCTCGTTCAGATTGATGAGTCCCTTCACAAAAGCATCCTGCTCAACCGATGCTTCCTCCCAGCAAACTCCTACCTGTGGCCAAGTCCCGCCGACGCCGAAAGAGAGTCGGAAGTCACGCTGGCAATAGAGGCAGACGTCTTGGATGAGCTTGACACAAAGATCAAATGTCCGTACCTCCCAAACCTTCTTACACACGCAGGTCGTGTGAGATACTAATGAAACCAGACGTGGAGAAACTGAAACGACTTCAGCTGGCACTGAAGAAACGCCGATTCAAGCTTCAAGGTATTCGAGACCCCGTGAAAAGGTCTCGTACGCCGCAAACCCCCGGTTCGCAGTACCCTACCCCAAACAAGTCGTATCGTCCCACGATCTCTGTTGAGGCGCATGATACCCGTGCGCGCAGCTCATCCGAAAGCTCAGGTGTTTCAAGTGGATCTGACATCCCTTTCACCACACCTGGTGATGTCTCAAGGCCAATATCTTTTGACCGTGATGATGATGTGGTTGACAACACAGACCAACAAGAGCACTTAAACCTTGTCGCCGAAACCAACCAGAAAGCATATAATCATGAAATGGGAGGTTCGGTGTCTGGGCTTCTCGGCAACAGGAAGCCCGAGGTCGCACAAAGCCAGGCTGAGACACAGCACTACAAACAGTCCCAAGGATACGGGTCGGCGAAACACCAGCTCCCCGGCAACAAGGACCTGATGCGACCGCCTGCGAAAAAGCCAAAGGTCGAGGATGCCCCATCCCCGATGAATATCGAGACCATCGGCCTTGGTGAAGAGCTGCCAATGTGGAAAGAAAAGGTTGATACGCCAATCAAACCACAGCCCACATCTTCCACTGCAGGAACGCGACGCAACGGACAAAAGCGAACACGGAATAACTTCACTGACTATGAGAGAAAGCACGCACCAGCCTGGTTCAAGAGCCAAGTAGATGCAGGAAAACTCCCAAGCGAGATTGAGAAGGATTACGTCAAGAAGTTTGGTGTCTTCCATCGCTGGCTCACAATCAGACTTTGGGTCGACCGGATGGAGGGAAGGGACATTAAAAAAGAGAAAGGGGTCGATAAAGAAGATACCCCAAGCAAAATCGTGGTATTGAAAGTAAAACTCCCGCTACATCTTCATTTGGCCTTCTTGAATGACAATTCCTCCTAGCCGATTCGGGTGTTCCCAACGAGCCGGCCAAAGACAGCAGCACCTGTCCCCCATCCTGGTTTTGCCGCCGCACCACCCTATGCATCCCCATACCCTTTGTTCCGGTCCTCCCAGCAGGCTGATGGCGCAACTGTTATGTATGAACTGGATTGGCCCTCCAAGACGGCTGGATCACCCCCAATCAAGAGTGGTCTTCCAAACTTGTGCTGATAATAGGTGGGTCTGGATCTCATCGGTTGTTGTATATCGTCTTTCAACTGACATCATTTTGATCGGATTTCTAGGGCTCAAGAGGTTTGCTCACGGTATGTCTCATGGGTTGACAGAACCACGGGGGTTGTACTAATTTCTGTTCTCAGAGCACTCTCGTTTAGCTGGAAGCTTCTCCTCTATTTGCAGTTTGCGGATTTCTCGTGCAACCAATCAACCCTTATCTTCATATGTCCATCCGCTACTTATTTTTTAATCATACTGCTACCACTTAAGTGTACCCATTATTTGTTTATTCTTTCCTCGCTACTCAAGTAGTAGGGAAAATGTATCCGTAATGGATTTAAATTCTTTAACGGCCTAAACATTTTGACGTCTCTCGCTCTGCAGACATATGGGTTATGAGCACTTGGAGCTCTGTTCAACTTGGGTCTTTACGTGAATTCATCTAGACACCTCTGTGGGATTCATACCGTTAATATTGAAATTCCATGTTGTCCTGCTCACTGGTGTCTCGTCTCTCTCGTCTCTCTCGTCTCGTTTTACTTTTTCGTCCCGCCTATCGACGCGCTAGCTAGTCAGACCACCTACCCACGTAGTTTTCATAGCATACGATCTTAAAGCCCCCACACTTCTACGCGTGGATGTTTCTCGTGAGTCACTCGCAGAACTTGCATGCTTACTTCTTGTGACGGTAATGCTCGCTGCTAGTACCTCTTCTTCCGAACTATATAATTCACATTAATACGTACCGTAGCCCCTCTCCATTTGATGTAAACGTTAGGAATCCGCTTCTTCGCCTGACCAATACACCTCAATATTCCACCCCTATATGCGGCCTCCCTTCTGCGCCGTCGCCTACAGTAGTAATGCAAACGCAAATTTCAGCTAACCCCGGTAACGCAGACTTAAATTAATTCCCTCCCTGCCACTCACGGAAACCCGTCCATACCTCCGAATGCCCCCTGAACTCCTCCAACGCCGCTTGCCCAACACGAACCCGGCTTCCGTCATCTCACTGGCGCTCCCTTCATATATACGACATTTTCAACATCTATACATCTATACATAGTTTGTTGATAATAGAGGGGACATTCAATGTACAACTAGGTGATCTAGTAAATGAGCTTTCATGATTTAATCTCTCAGGATACTGTGCATTTCCGATGTTTCTCGCGCTGCAAAACTTCCTCGTCGCAGACGGTGGTGGCTCTCTCTCTCTCTTGCTGCGAACGCTCCTCCCATCACCAACGCCCTTCACACGAACTATAGCGACCCTCTCTCGGTACGGACGCACCCATTGCGGAGTCCTCCATCACGAACTATAGCGGCTCTCTCACTCATAATTGTTCTACTAGCTTTTGATCGTTCAACCTCCTCCTCCTCCTCCTCCTCCTAGCCTATTTTTGACTCCATTCGCCACGCTCTTTCTGGGGACCTTAGGGCCTACAATTGAGCAGTGTCTACCCAGAGAGAAGATCCGTGGAAGTAAAGTGCTGCGCTAGAAATCCATATGATAAGAAGCTCTTGCAGCTCACTATTGGCAGATGATGTGTTTTGGTTGGGTAGCCCGCGCGTTCAAAAACCGTTTACCCTCCTTGGGTCCTCGAGATGTAGTTTCTCTCTAGTCTCACTTGAAATCTTCTCACGCAGTCGCCATTCAGCACATTTCTCCCTGCATTTGAATCTTTATTCGTTTTATACTCCAAGCGCCTGTGCGAAGCGCTATGAGCGACCGCGATCCTCCAACCCAAGAACCGGATCCGGCAAGGGCCCCCGGCGTTGCGCAGGGTGGGACCAGTATGCCTCTCGCTCCATATACTGCACTGCAACATGACATTGGTCAGGCCTACTCGAAGTATGTCGCATATTCCCAGGTGATTGCTAATGGTGGCTATCTGGCACCTCAAATTGGCAACTTGATTTTCTACAACGAAGTAGAAAAGACAGCTGCTAGAATCTTTGGCCAGGCACCCCCACGAATGGTTGAATACAACGCCTATAGACCCATTGTCTGGACCGACGTTCTTCTTCAATCGCTTACGGCTGATGATTTCGACCGGCAAGAAAGTGGCATGTACTGGTGCCGCGTCTGGGGAACTTTGATCGAGGTCTCCGAGGCGAACTACATTGCCATTCTCTCTGATATCCCGCAACAACTTTTGCAGCCATTCCGGAACTTGTCGGACGGGCAGAAGGAAGCTCGAGTCCGGTTCTTGCTACGCTCCTACCTACGTGAGACATACAATAATCTCTTCCAGTGTAAGTTGGCCCCATTTCTATAAGCTGTTTTGTTTCAAAACTAATATGTCATCCCACCAGTCTCTGTCGCAATTGGGGCATCTATACGCGCGTTGGATGGACCCCATCCTATTCAGGCGTCTGTCTACCATACAACCCCCGTCTACACTGGACCAAATCAAACTGAACCGCCTAACCCAAATTCCGCTCAACGTCCGAATTCCGCTAAATCGGTGGTCATCATTTCCGACGCAGAAGGCGGCAGGGATGAACACACTCAAGACAACATCAATGTGCAAGCATCCGAATGGGGTTTGTTGGGTGATTCAACCAGCGATGAGGATCATGTCCCATCAGCTCACGCTCTTGCATCCAACTCTACTGGTTCAGAGAGCACCACAGATTACCATTCCTCTTCATCTGAGAATCGTCCAAGAAACACGCGCATTACAAGTGATGATGACGCCTCAATTGATGTTGTCCGAGGAAATCCCGGTAATCCAGTGAACGACGACAATGCTCATACTGGGTTCGTTACATACCGCCTCTTTCTGGGCAATTCTCAAGCGAGCAGCCACAATGCCAATGCCGGGTTGGTTGACAACAACATTCCTTCCGCCATGAACAACCACATGGTCGGAACTGTGGATGCCAATGGCAATATCCAAGAAAATTCCCATGCCAACGACAATCCCCGGCCATCTGGCCTCACTTCTGGTGTCACTTCACGCTCAATTTACCCGTGGTTGATGAACATCGAGACACCTGTTAGTGAAGACTTTTATGCTCAATCGTCTGACACCGACACCTCCCATGAGGTCAAAGTTGAGCCGGCATCCTCTGATGAGGGACCTTATGGTGTGGAACCCTACGATGAGGAATCTGATGAGGAGGAATCTGATGACGAGAAACGCGGTGATGAGGAGCCTCATGATGAGGCATCCCCTTCGACCGATACCACCACAGAAGGCCATGGAATGAGAACCCATGGTTCAAAGAGACCCCAGACTGAGACCCCTCCCAGCGAATGTGAGATCAAGCCACGGACCTGCGTGAGATACTCTCAATTGGAGGAGGCTGAGGGGCCAGAATTTGTGCGGTGTCTGGTGAGCAAAGGATCTACTTGCGCCGAAATCGAAGAAGAATACTCCGAGAAGTTCGGTTTGTTCCGGTCTGCGGCTGGTCTCTTCAAGAAATTCGCGATCAAAGGTACTTGGTCGATTTTGAAACATCACGAACAGGCTAAGCGCCAGAAGACTATGGTACCGAGCCAATTACTCCGATCTTACTATGAAACTGCACTAACAATTGTTTTTAGCCAGCATAGTCTTGCTCGGATCGAGACAGAATGATCACTCAATGGATTGGAGCAAGAAGGATGGATACCTGGTTATGAGATGGAGGGACATTGGGAGGAATTGGGCCATACGGCATGATAATTTACTGGGAGGATTGGTTGGGACAGGAGGATTTTCATGCGATATCTAGGAGGAAACGAAGCGGATCTGCATCATGGACAGTCATTACCACTATTTTAACGATTTTTATCTCTTATTTTAACGATATCATATTATTACGAAGCTCATGAATTCAAGCATATTTTTACTATCCATCAGATCCAACCATATTCCGTGACATCCTGGGCAGAGAAGATTGCTTACATGATTCGCAAGCTCGCTATTGTGAAAAAAGACAACTCGTATATACATAAATGGCCCATCACAGCTTCTTGGGTGCCTCAGACTTAACACCCAGCCCAGTGATCACCGAAGGCCGCGACTTCAACCTGTTCAGCCACGCATGAACATTCGAAAATTCTTTCTCCAAGTCAACCCTATCGCCTGCTGCCCAAGGCACAACTTCGAACCAGGAAACAAAAACAAGATCCGCATAACTGCACTTGTCACCCACCAGGTACTTGCGGTCCTGCAAGACTCCGTTCAGCACACCTGAAATACGGCGAATCTCAATGATGTACCGATCAACGGCAGACTGCAGCTGTTCTTGATGATGGATCTTGAACCACACAGCCTGGCCGAAATATGGGCCCTGTCCCGACACCTGGAAATGGAGCCATTGTTTGGCATGGTAGAACTCTGGAGTATTGGCTTGGAAGCTGATCACTTTGTTGTTGTCGTATTTTTCGACCAGGTATTCGATGATTGCTCCAGATTCCCAGAGAGTGATTCCTGTGTTAGGATCTTCAATCGCGGGGACTCGTCCGTTGGGGTTGATACTTTCGTAGGCGGGCTGTTTCATCTCCGGGAATTCGAGCAGCTTAATTTCGTATGGGATTTTGAGTTCTTCGAGGACCATCACCACCTTTTTAGGGTTGGGGCCTGCGTGGTGGCCGTAGAGGATGATGGACTGCATGTTTGGTAAGGGAGGATAATTGGTAGCAATTGTGTAGATATAGGTGTAGATGTAGTAGGTTGATAGTTGATGAGTTTTGGAAATTTCAGCAAGCCAATGTGGATAATTTATTCTTAACCCGCATTCTATATACTATACTTCGGTCTCGCCCTCGGGGTTGGATTATACAACAGACCGAAGCTGACAAGCACCTTGGGTGACTCTAGCTAAGGTTCAACCGTGGTACTATCAAGCAGTTTCAACTTTGATTGGCCAAATGCTTACCAGTGGATCCCCGAAACCTTATTCGCGGATTTATGTTCAGAACCGAGCTGTGTCATTCTTCGCTGTTCGGTCCATCCGTCGGGTCCCGTCTATGATGACTATGCGATACAACCTAAGGTTCCAAGTGATTCGACCCTGGCAACGCCTTAGAAAAATTTTCACCTCTATCTCTCTCTCTATATATATATATATATCGTCTTTCAAGTATCCAAAATAACACATTTTCCCCATCTACTTCATAAATTGACTACATCATCATGTCTGCAAATAACATCGCCTTCACAGCCCCCATCAACCCCGCTGGTGCGAGCCCAAAGCTCCATCAAGATCAAATTTGGGCGGGCCTTCGCCTAAAAGTTCGATCTGCGGAAACCTTCGTCCCGAGAGCCATTCAATCAACCACTGTGATCTCCGACTCGATAGATCCAACCACAGGGAACGAAGTCACTGTTCGCGAGGTCGTTTTCGTCGAAAATCAGCGCAAAGTCCAGGAAACCGTTACCGCATACAAGCCTTCCAGGGCCGTATTTATCCAGCCTGATGGCAGCACCATTGTCAATGTGGTTAGCGAGGACGCTGACGGGGAGCTCTACATGACCTACACCTTTGAATGGAGGCATCCTGGCGCCTCCAAGGAGGAACTTGCGGCGTTTTTAGAGAAGGAGAAGAAGATGAGCCGGATGGCTGTGGAGGGGACGATTACTGTTCTGCGGGAGTTGGCGAAGAATGGGAAGATCTGAGAGTGAACAATTTGTATTTGATTGATTATTGGAGTTTTTGTCACATAATACATGGATTGGTTTTTCTTTGATACATTATTGCTAGAGAACCGGCCCCTACATCCTTTACCGAAACATCCTGCGATGGTCGAATGTAATGAAATTTTTCTTTTTCTCTTGCCAATGTCTTATGTGCAAAGGAGTACATATATGACTTCCTGCGAGGTACCAAGGGTAGATACTAATACTAGTGCATCAATTAGAATTCGGCATTGACTGTTCTCCACTGTAGTCACATGTTGTAAACGCATGTAGTACATAGTCAACCATGTAGTAGACCTTGACTCAAGTGAGAAACTAGCAGCCTCATCAGAGATGAGGCATTTTGATAGTTCCATCCTAGCGCACTACAACAAGCAAAAGTGGGACCGTCGGCATCGAGGGGGTCACTGGTGATATCGGCATTGGCTACAGCCCCGACGGGACCGATCTGTCAGCGGGGCGGGGCTCCAGCGCAAGTCGGCGCTCCGACTCTCCGACTAGTGCTATATCGCATCGTAGTATGTCTATATTTAAATAAACAAGAGGACATTACTCGGACATGTTAACCTAAATTCTACAAGATCTTCAATATGACTTCAATCACGGTTGGTATTGCCGGTATCACAGGCAAATTTGCCCGTTGCGTTGTTGGTCACCTTTTGAAGAACCCCAACGTGACTATCAAGGGTTATTGTCGCGACCCAAGTAAACTTCCCGCTGCCCTCCTTGCATCCCCCAGAATTAGCATTACCCAAGGCCAATCAGATGACAAAAAGGCCTTGTAAACTTTTGCCAAAGGGAACGATGTGGTAGTTTGCTGTTATCTCGGTGACCACAACCTTATGATCAACGGTCAAATGTCGTTGATCGATGCTTGCGAGTCCGAGGGAGTCGGTCGTTATGTGGCAAGCGACTACAGCCTAGACTTCACGAAGCTAGAGCTTGGGCAGCTTCCCGCGAAGGACCCCATGAAGCACGTTCACGAATATCTGAAGAGCAAAAACGTCCAAAGAGTCCATGTCTTGATTGGCATTTTCATGGAAACTTTCTTCACCACTTTCTTCAACTCCTGGAATGCGAAGGAATCCTCCTTCTCATACTGGGGCTCTGGTGAGGAAAAGTGGGAGTCAACAAGCTACGACAATGCGGCCCAGTTTGTCGCAGCTGTCGCCCAAGATCCTACTGCGGTTGGTGTGCAGAGATGTGAGTCATTCCTTCTAAATTCATATATTTGGAAGGAGATACTGACTTTTATAGTCCTCGGTGATCGCAAGAGCATTTTAGAAATCGCTGCCACATTCGAAAACCAGTACAAGGTCAAGCCACAGTTGAACAGACTTGGATCTCTGGAAGAACTCTACACATATATGCAACAAGTTAGAGACAATGACCCAAGCAACTTTATGGCTTGGATTCCTTTGTAAGTTTTTCAAACCTGTGAATTCAAATCTGAGAGATTCTAACATGTCTGGGATTTTCTAGGTTCTACAAGTTCTACTGCACCAACGGACAGACTTATCTCACTCCCGATGTCGATGCTTCGAAATATGGCGTAATCCCACGACTGACCTTCGACGAGTTCTTCAAACACCATTCACTAGAGTCTCTCTCAACTGCAGCCTGGGGTGTTGGTTCGAACGTATCAGCATAGTGATGGGGGCTGCATAATGCACGCTACATTGTACAATTGAGTTTATCACACACATAGACCTAAATGGCAACCGGGGAAAAAAATAACCTTCGAAAATAGTCAGATTAAATAGTGGCAGCACACATTATCCACGTATTGCTGAGCTCCTTTTTAATGTGTATTGGCCACATAGATAACTGTAGTGATGATGTCATTTGGCCGGAAAGCCTCCCTATATAAAGAGACTTCGCTGCCCCCAAAGAATTCAATTTCTATTTACTTTTGACACGTGTTCCAGAATGCCAAGATCAATTGCAATCATTGCCGGTGCAGGGCCAGGAACTGGCAGCGCCATTGCCCGCCGGTTTGCCAAGGCCTACCCAGTGGTACTTCTTGCTCGATCGCAATCATCCCTTGACCCTTTAATTGCTCAAATCACGCAAATCGGTGGCTCTGCCATTGGTGTCCCCACGGATGTCAGCGACTCTGCAAGCATGACTTCGACAATGAACCAAGTCAAGGCCAAGTTTGGTTCTGATGTGACAATAGCCGCCGCTATTTACAACGTGGCGAGCAAGTTCACGAGAAAGCCCTTTCTAGAACAAAGCCAGGAAGAATTCCTCGGGAGCCTTGAGCCATCCGTCAAGGGTGCTTTTAACTTCGCTCAGGCTACACTGCCCCTAATGCTCAATCCCGAAATGGGACAGTCTCCACCCACTCTCATTTTCACCGGTACCGGATACTTTTCCTAATTGGTTTAATACAACATTTACTTACTGATTCTAATAGGTGCAACGGCTGCATTGAAAGGTGGCTCTGGGCTTTCCGGGTTTGCTATGAGCAAGTTTGGAATCCGTGCTATGTCCCAATCTCTCGCGCGTGAATTCGGCCCGAAGGGTGTCCATGTCTCACATGCGATCATTGATGGCATCATTAACACTGAGAAGACTAAGGGCTATCTTGATAATGTTCCAGATGGAAAAATTGACCCTGAGGGGGTAAGTGAAATTAGATCTCACTGCAGCCAATCCTCCCACTAATCAACAATCACAGATTGCAGAGTCTTACTGGTTTTTGCACTCCCAGCCTAGGACTTCGTTTACTCACGAAATTGATCTCCGACCGTATGTAGAGACTTGGTAAGAGACCGAAGATTGAATAGGACGGTTGTTCTTGATTGGGAGTGATCTTTACATAGTGCAATCAATGGAAAGCTTATACAGCTAGAGCTTGATATATTCTGTACCAAACTAGAATTTCAAATATAAAAATTAAAATTAAAATACAAAAACATATTATGTTTAAAGTAGTGAGAAACCCGGGTGACATGTCACTAACACAAGCCGGCGCCGGCCACAGTATCACCCGCAATTAACAGAGTGCCGTCTCTAGTAGGACAGATGTCCAACAGATAGACATGTTCCAATTGCCTCCCCAACAAGTTGACGGAAACTCATGCCTTGCTCTTGTGCTCTCGGAAGAAATCCTCGACCTTAGTCCAAGTCACGTCGGGATATCGGTCATTATCGAGCGGGTCGAGTTTTCCGGCCCCAGAAAACATGTTCGCCATGTACTGCATGCCCTGCCAAGCAGGGAACACATCATTCTCACCCCCAAACAGACGCATAACCCGGATCATGAACTCCATGAATCCCACAGTGCCCATCCACCCGGGCTTGTATGGCACACCTTCGACGTTGCTCTGTGCCTGGGCGATATCCTTCACAGTGACGGTATCACTAGCAATGCGGAGGAAATTAGGCGTGTGGTTGGGGTCTGCAGCCACAGCAGCCGTGTACGCAGCCGTGTCCACCATGGTGGTGAAATCGAGTAATTGTGTGGTTTTCCCGATATAGGCGACCTTGCGGCTCTTGTGATTTATCATTGGCGAGTTGCCGACCATGAGATCCATGAAGCCGCCGTTGAGGATACTTGTCCATTCGATACCTGACTTCCTCAACTGGGCATGGAACTCGCGACGCAGATCAAGGTTGCGGTTGGATCCAGGTTTTGTCTTGGTGAAGTCCAAGGAGAAGTCTGAAGGGATGAATCTAGGCACCTTGGCGGCTACAGAGGCCTCTAGAAGTTTGCTCTGAACGCCGTGCATGACATCCTTCAACCCCTGGAGTGTAGACACGACACACATCGCTCCATCGAGTTCGCGAGTGAGAGCTGGGACCGCGGATAGATCCACTGTAGCGATAGTTACGCCAGCGTCGCGGAGCTTTTGGGTGCGAGAGGGATCGGTGTTGGGCCGGACGAGAGCCTTCACAGCCACGCCTCTTTTGATCAGTGCCATTGTGACAAGCTGGCCTAAACCACCGGCAGCACCGGCGACGGCGACAAAGGGTGAAGTCATGTTGGTTGGCTTCAGCGATAAGTTAAGATATATGTGAAATGATGGTCAAGTGTAAAAAACAGAGCTATTCGTGGGAATAATTGGAAACATTTCAAGGACCGAGGCCCTTTTTAATCTCAATAAAATTCTAAACTACTCGATTGCCACGCAAAACAAGTTTGCCGTTGAATTCTCATCAACTTCAAAGGGGCTCGCTGCTGACTTAGTCATGGCGGTGGTTCGGGATCGAGATGAACCCCGAGAACCCGGAGTGGTCACCCGCATAAATAGGAAATCTCTTAGAAGATGGAAAAAGGAAATTGATGTAAAATCTGATTATATCAACTCAGCCTATCGCCTTTATGCAATTACCGATTTACCAATCTCACTCTCGGTTCCTATATCAAGCCCCCAGGACCTGGATTCAAAGACCTTGTATTACATCGTTACAAAATAGGCATACAAGAGTATCGACAGGGATTATCCCGACGATCTACCAACGCTCGCACTTCACAATGGCCAATCACTCCTCCTCATTTCTTCCGCCTCTAAGTAACCAGGAATTTAAGCTATACAACCGCATGGCAGATAAGATGCAGGGATTGGTGCGTACCCTGTCTACGGCGTTTATACTTTAATATGGTTTGCGCTAATTAACTCCACAGCATCAATGGTTTCGAGTGCGATGGAACATAATCTACGACGTGGCAGAATCATCACGACGCCCCGCCGGTATGTCTATCAAGAGCTATCTTAACATGTGTTTGGAATTTTGTGAAAATCTCGAAACACACCACGAGATTGAAGAGGTAGGTCCTCATAGAACCAAGTCCCACTTGATTATACTTGGCTCAGTTGAGTAACGATTTTGCAGATCCGCGTCTTTCCGTACCTCGCTCGGCGTATGCCTGCTTTTGCCAACAAGGACGAGTTGATTAAGCAGCATAAAGTGATTCATAAAGGACTCGAAAGATTCGAGTCGCATGTTCGCAATTGTCTACGAGGGAATGCTGATATACGATGGGATGAGATTAAAGACATCTTAGACTCGTTCGGAACGACACTCTGGGACCATTTGGACGACGAAGTCAGGGAACTGGGAGCTGAGCAGACTCGGAAGTACTGGTCAAAGGAGGAAATGACGAGAATGCCGATGTAAATGGATTGTATTATTGTATTATTGTCAAATGTCAGATGTTCCAAATATGATTTGCATTCCAGCACTGATAAGAATCGTCTTTGAAGGGATACAGATGCTAGAGGAACTATTCCAGTGGGGATATTTGTCCTCATTTATTATCTATGAGAAGCTAGCTTTTCGTTCACACTGTGATGGGGCGGTGCTCGGTACATGCTACGTGATCGGCCCATACCGGCCCTCGTAATTCTGGCAGTAATTTTGGCGGCGAAGGTCTGTAACTCTGGTAATTATATTACGAGGCCACCGTCACATCTAGTCGGGGCTCGGCATTGCCTTTAAGACCGATATATTTAGGAGGGTCCACCAAGACCTTTACCACCACTATTGACAAAATCTGCCCGTTCTATCTTGTATCATTCTACAATCATAAGGAAACCTAAAGGAAATTTTCAATGTCACTTCCGATCAAAAATATCATGAAGCCTATCCCCATTATAGTGTGCGGCAAGTCTGCGCACGTCGCTGTTGGTGTGAAGGAAGGCATCAGACCAACATATGAGGGTGAGCTATTGACTCCAGATGGTTTTGATTTGATTACTGCAAATATCTGACCAAATTGAAGCGCTTCATATCATTCAATCTTTGGAAGCTGGGATGAGGGACATTCCATCCCTTTTGGAAGGACTCGATCCTCCTTCCAAGGAGTGGGCAAACCTTGGAACTCAGGAGTACGGGAAAAAGGTCGCAGCAGTCGTCGTTGGAGGTGGATACAACGATGCAGACTTCGAACAGCTACGAAATACTGGCGAAGGGAAAAGCAGTATACCGTGGCTGCGTCACGACATAAGCAAGGAGATCGACCCAAGGCAACCTAGGCCCAAAGCTGGGATTGAGTATGGCGAGCAGCTTGCAAAGAAGATAGTCAAGTGCTTACAAGATTTGGAAGAAGATAAGAAGATGGGAAAGGATGGCGTATATTGGTTCTAGGCGATATCATACAACGCTTTCTCTCGAATTTCACTCCAGCTAAACATAATATATTCCGGCAGACTTCCAAAAGAATTCTCAAGCTGCCAATAGTAGTTCTACCTCTCCTCCCCGGTCTCTTTATCTAGTGAAAAGTTTGATGTGACCTCCGTATTTTGTCAGCCGCGGCACTTCGGGATTCTGTTCTATGCCGAGCACCACACTCCTCTAGAAACCATTTATATTTTTTACTTTTCGTTTAGATATATATCCATGTCAAAATTCATGAGCCAAGCGATATCCAAGTCTCTTTCCATTTCAAAATGGCAGACAATAAGCTAAAGGGCAACCTGTCGCGTGTCAAAGCTCCCTCTCCTCTCGGCAAGTCAATCTTTGTTGGGCTTCGTTTGACAGATGCAGTTTGGCACTATGCATTTCTCTATCGTGATTGGGCATCCCAGTTAGTCTAACTGCTTGATGGAACGTCTCTACAGGTTCTGCATGCCTCCAGTGGCGGCTGAGCCCTTACTCCAGCTGCTTGTTGTCATGGCCCTCGGCAGTGGTCTTAAGCAAGCAATTCATATAGCCTTCATCTCAGAGCAAGAACCTTCGAGTGGACAAGGCTTCTATATATGGTTCTTTAACACCGTCTTTAACTTGACCAACATCCTTCTTTCCGTCTGGTCCCTCACCTCCAATCGCCTTCCTCCGACGGTTCGCTTCGTATCCAATCCATGGCTTTTGTAGCTATCGGCGTTTACGCGTACATTGTCAGCATCTTGCCGAAATTTATATCAGAACTCCAGCGTCGCCGCTTCAAGAAAGACCCGAACAACAAACGAAAGCCGTATGGAAGCGGACTGTTCTGTTCTCGCTCGCAACAAACGTTAATTACGGTGCTTATACTTTGTGGTGTACTAGATTTGCGTTGGCAACTGGAGGATGAGCCTGGAGACTATTCAACTTCTCCTTTTTCATCTATGAATTTGCGACTCGTGGAGTCCCAGTCCTTGGCGAGTATTGCACCTAGAGAGTATGCTTGTTCATTCTCCTTTCATTTATCACCGCATCCTCTTATTTACTTACTTACCTCACAATTATTGGTATAGAGCACCTTGGACAGATATCAAAAAACGCTTTTATTACCGTTTGTTGCTTTGGATATATTAGAGAGTGCAAGGAAGAACATGGGATCAAATGGATCAAGCTTGGTTGTGTATACCCGGGGATATATGAACGGGGTAATAAATTTTAGGGCATTCGTTTGTCTAATACCAAATTTTGGATTTTGTCTATGCTATTTCTTTTGTAGTAATCGGTATATCAATTTGATTATAGGTGATATCTACATAACTAGCCTATTGAGGGAGTCGGAGGCAAAGTCCCCCGGCTCCAACCCTGTGGCCCCGGGGGGCTCCCTGAATAATTACATAATCAAAAGCCGGGGGGCACAACCTTCGAAAGCCGTTCACGAACGTCATGAAACAAATTATTGCAAGAATTATATCTTGGCATTTCAGAACATCTTCAATTCTCCTGAATTCCAAGGTTCAAATCATGATTCTTACCAAATGGTTCAACCAGCTAATCCTGTGAATTGCAACCTTCCTCGCGAAGGAGTATCGACCTTACTCCATCGCAGTTGCAATGCCTGCAATCGTAGGAAGGTCAGATGCAACAAGAATTCTCCGTGCGATAACTGCGTGAGGCTCGGATTTGAGTGTACTTTTCCACCACCTGGGCGGAAAGCCCGGACTAGGCCAACGAAATCATCCAAGGCTGAGTTGATCTCTCGATTAAGCTTATTGGAGCGGGAAGTCCAGAAGCTCGGCGCGCAGAAGATTGCGGCTGATGTCCCTGTGGGCAGCCTGGAAGATCAGGATATTGAAGAGAGCCCGGAGAGCAGCAGTACTGTAGCTCCATGGCCATCGAAGACCCCTGCAAGTGTAGAAGCGGAGGCTGAAGAGGAGGGTAAAGAGGAGGGAACTGGGATTCATGGTGGTCAGATTATACTAGAGCCAGATCCTGACACGTCAGAAAGCACACTGGGACACCAATTTGGACGGTTGGTCATCAACAGAAGTAGTGGGACAAGCCGGTATGTGAACCATCGGGTTCTGACAGATCTGGGAGATCAGGTAAATTGTGCCCCTCTCCCCCTACGTATTAACCCGATTGAGGCTTTACAAACAGCTTGCTGAATCCCTTTTGTGATGGTCTCTAAAGATCAAGGAACTTCGTGATGCTTTCAAGGCTCCATCATCGCCGACACCATCGTCCGAGGAAGAATATCCTTCATCTCCAGGCTCTACTGCGGCATACTCGGAAACACATAGCCCTTTCATATTCGGTTACCGTTCTTCGGTTTCTTCGTTACACGAATACCGTCCATCACCCACCCTAAGCCAATTACTTTTGAATGTCTTCGAAGAGAACATAGCACCCATAATCATGATTATTCACAAGCCAGCGTTAAGGAGTCTTATCCAAGCATCATGGGAAAATCCGGAGGAGCTTGATAGGAGCTCAGAGGCATTGATTTTTTCTGTGTACTTCGCTGCAGTTTCGAGCATGACACCAGAAGAATGCCTCATCCAGTTAGGGGAGGATCACGCTATTGTGGTCAAGCGATACCGCTTCGCCGTTGAGCAAGCACTAGCACGTGCAGGCTTCTTCCACACCCACAAACTTCTTGTGTTGCAAGCAGCCGTCCTCTTCTTGACCTGTGCTTGTAATCCAGAAGACACTCAATTCGTGTGGACCATGATAGCCGTGGTTACCCGGCTTGGGCTTGGTCTAGGGCTACATCGCGACGGCACCCACTTTGGCCTCAGTCCCTACGAAACCGAAATGCGGCGCCGAGTCTGGTGGTACATTTATCTATTGGATGTTCAAACATGCGAGCTCGAAGCAACGAGTCCCCAGATTCGGGAAGGGGACTATGATACGCGATTGCCGTTAAATATAAACGACAACGACCTGTCTCCGCATTCGGTGGAAACTCCGCCAGAACGCATCGGCTTTACGCAGATGACACTGACCCTGGTCCGCTGCGAGATCCTAATCTCCCGCCGCAAATCTATGCAAATGACATGCCCAGGGCCTAATGGCCCGAATATCTTGTTTAAGAACCGCAATCTCGCAATAGAGAAGTCTAAGCGGCTCCTTGAGGAACGATATCTCCAATTTTGTGACCTCAGCATCCCTATCCATTGGGTCGTAGCAACAATTGCACGAGTTGCACTTGCACGGCTATGGCTGGTTTCCCATTTCTCACTTTTAACCGCGCAAGGCTTTGAAGCAAATAACTGGCCTGAGCGATGCGAGGTTCTTATCTTAACGGCCATCGAGGTCCTCGAGTTCGTCTATTTGCTTGAGACAAATGTGAACACCGCCAAATGGTCCTGGCTGTTCCAGGGGTATGTTCAATGGCAAGCATTTGCTTTTGTTCTATCGGAGCTCTGTGTGCGCCCGGGCTCCTCGTTCTCTGATCGTGCGTGGACGGCTGTAGACCGGGTGTGGGAGCGGTGGAATAAGATACGGACTCATAAAGATTGGTTGATCATGCGACCACTCGAACGTCTGATGAAACGGGCTTCTGCTACCCGGACTCGTCAGCTAATTGGGTCGGAGCTGGCTCCTCCCATTGAGTCCAACCTGACCGACATGGAACTCGCGGACTCAGCAATGATGGACCAATTAGATGACTTACCTGGGGATCTGATGGCTGTGGATGCTGCATCTTTGGACCTTTTCAGGGACGTGATGACAAATTTGGGTCTATAACGAGGCCGTGAGAAATCTACTGGCCGGATCATGGTTTGAGTTTAGGATAGGGAATGAAAGGATCCCTAGGGGCTGTGATATATGTGGGTGGAATACAATGGACACCTGGAACTGGTCGGTTTTTGTTGCCCGGTCCTTCGGGACTGTTTTGAATGCCAACTGTACTCCCCATCTATGGTCGATTCCGAGGCGCCGATCTCGGAAGCGCAACCAGCCCCGCGTACGTGGCTGTGAACCGTTCGAAATCCACTGGCGATCCGCATTGATACGAGCTGCTTAGCTTAGGCCTCAAATGCCTCCAACTCAAGCTTACGAAGACGCTTTGAGGAAATGTACATGTAACTTATCGATACAATTGATCACGCTAGTTACGTATCTTTATTTCGGCCATCTAACTGTATGATTGCGTTAACCCCGTTAAACAGCTGGCATCAAGAGACTGTAAAGAATAAGATGAATGCGTGGGTTTGTATTCTATATATATATATATATGACGTTTTGAGTGTCGAGTTCATCGAAATTTGGTGTTAAATGATTTACTTCTGTGGGTCTAGAGTATCAAAAGTTGATGTCTCCCCCCGTACCAGAAATGATTGAAGGTCGATATATTGGGAAGCTATTCGGACTAATCCCAAACTGCTAGTCTATTGCTCCTGTAGTTCAGCTAATTTTTATAACTAGCACTCTAACTATTGCCTTGGTGCCTTGAATTCAAGGATCTGGTGGCGATATTGTGGCCTCAGGCATATATGCTAGCAGCTAACATAACCTACACGCCACCGAGGTCCCTAGCTGGTTGGTTCTGGGCACCCGAAGAATTGAGAGCGTCCGAGCGTCCTCTCGGGGCTCGGGACTGACCACAAACCCGGGGTGATGACGGAACACCCAGCTTGTCATCCCAAGGTGCAGAATCGTCGTAGTTTATCTTCCGTGGGTCTTCTTCACGAGTGACAACATGACAAGCTTTACGATAGTGCTATATTAGGTACCTAAGTGTAATGAACTTTACTAAGGCATTGCCACATTTTCGGATGTCCAGAGTCCCGACCAAGGATTTTACTAAGGTGGTCGGTTTCGACCTGATGCCGAGCTTATTCACGCTGTCTTTGCCCGAGAGCGCTCATTCGCCTGTGGCCAAATTTAAGATTTATAGAGCTGAACATCGAAGTTATAAAAGCTTCCTCGATTCCTCAACAACCTGGAATATATCTTCAACTCAGACGTCATTACTGCATTGCTCTGCCTCATATCATTCAATTTACTCTTTACAAGCAAATTTATCAATCATTCGCCATGTCCAAGGTCATTACAATTTTCGGCGCCACTGGTAACCAGGGTGGCTCGGTCATCGACGCCATTCTCGCCGATCCCAACCTCTCGAAGGAATTCAAGATCCGGGGTATTACCCGCGACACCACCAAGAAAACCGCACAGGACCTCGTCAAGCGCGGTGTCGATGTTGTCTCGGTAAGCTTGTATTTTGATTTTTGATTTTTGATTTCCTTGCTCGTCCTCTTGAAAGAATCATAGAATCCATCATGGGTATAGACTAACATTCCAACGGGCTGATCTGGACTCTCTCGACTCTCTCACCGCGGCGCTGAAGGGATCCCACATTGTCTTCCTCGTCACCAACTACTGGGAGACCATGAACGCCGACGTCGAGTACTCCCAAGGCAAGAATGTCACCGATGTCGCCAAGGCCGTTGGTGTTTCCCACCTGATCTTCTCGTCTCTCCACCATGTCACTGAGGAGACCAAGGGCCGTCTCACCAATGTTCCTCACTTCGATAGCAAGGCCAATATCGAGAAGTACATTCGTGCTTCCGGTGTTGGATGCAGCTTTGTCCTTCCCGGTTACTACATGAGCAACTTCACCCAGATGCTCGTCCGTGCTGAGGATGGCTTGTATCAGCTCTTCTACCCCGTTGGAAAGCAGGCTAAGTTCCCTCTCTTCGATGCTGCCCAGGATACAGGTAAGACTGGCTCTCCTTATTTTTGATATACATTAACTCACATACCCCCTAGGTCTCTTCGTGAGAGCTGCTCTCAAGCACCGCGACCAGCTGAAGAACAAGCAGATTTTGGCCGCTACCAAGTACTACACTCCCGATGAGATCGTAGACACCTTCTCCAAGGTCACTGGCAAGAAGGCCGTCTTTATTCAAGTCTCTCCGGAGCAATACAAGGCCTCCTTACCTGCTGCTATGGCCGATGAGTATCTCGACAACCAGCTGTTTGTGGAGGAGCCTGGCTACTACCTCGGAGAGCCCCTCGAGCCTAGTCTGAGCCTTGTCGATGGCAAGCCCACTACCTGGGAGGAGTTTGTGAAGAAGAATATCTCTGCTTGGAAATAGGTCGCTTGGAATGAGAGTCGTCGCTTTCAATAAGAATGATCACTTCGAATGAGAGTTTGATGTTGATTTGTATATATCTATCGTTTCAAATGGAAGTCTTCGATATCAAATTTACTCAAGTGTGGTTCAAACATTTAAGTGATGGTTGTTTAGGGGTTCAGATTTATCAAACAAGTACATTACACTCACACCCCGTGGAATCACCCATTGCTTGTAGACGAGTTCCTCTTCCGTTGCGATGCGTGGCATGCGACTAGACGCACCATGACTGAGTCTGAGACCCTCATTGATGACGGCCGACTGATAGAATAGTGAAATGTCAGCCCTCTAGCAGAAATATGTATTTAAGATAAAGTCACACGAAATAAGTCAAAGCCTCTAGTTTGTTCAATGCAACAGGCGCATAGCTGTCGGTATGACAGTACTCAACTCAGTGCGTAGCTTGTCCAACACATCCTTGTTATGCAATAGGTAATAGATAATCACAGCTAGGTCTCTGGCTGTCGTCTCGGTTCCAGCTTCAAGTGCGAGTCCGGCCTCCGTATTTAATCACTCTAGTGTTTTCTCACTCGATGGCAAGTCACTGTTCACAATATCTTGAAAGATTGTCCGTGAACTAGCAGATAACGAACCCTCCTTTCTCGAATTGCCATTCTTCCGACGCTCTTCCGTGGCAACCTGAATAATCTCAATCGGATACTGCAGTCTCTTGGTGAGGTTCGCTGTCTCGGGACTAATCCACTGCACGACCCCCGGCGACAGATTATTCAACAATGGATCCATGAACGAGCTAAACTACCTTCCCATGGGCCTCATCAACCCACTACTCGCAATGCCTCAAGCCAATCTGCTCCCTAATCTGTGTGATCAAGATTACCCATGTCGCCGCCAAAAATGTATGACGAGATGATGTCCACGGTCAGCGCGGCCGTCGCATAGGTCAAATTGACCACCTCGCTGCGGGTACATGCACCTGCCAGCCGGGTCTCGAGGCGCTTGATTTTCTCAACGACCATACCTTCTAGCAATTAGATGGCGCGCTTGCCGAAGAAGGGGTTCAGGGCTGCGCGTCGCAATCAGTGTTACTCATTGATTAGATACTGAGTATCACTAAGTAATCGGAGCGCATCCAATGAGCACTCACTGAGCACTCACTGATGATCAGTCATTCTATGTGTGACTGAACTTAGCATTATCACTGATCTGAGCCCCTACTGACATCTACTCGGTGAGCCTAAGTCTGAGCACCCTCAGAAAAGCGGCGGCAGCTCAAATAGGAAAGCCCCACCCGCGAGGGAAAATGCGGTACGTATAGGTACATACACAAGGTATAATCTCGCCATTGCACTCAATAATTCGTTATAAATAAGAGAACTACAGAGTCATTACGTAGTAAATGTATGCAAAAAATAATAAAAAAGCCCTCGGATCTACCGTAGATGATTTATAAATATCTATTGTTCGCCGTTCTTACAGGGCGAGAGCAAGACCCAGAACACCAGCAGCTCCAGCAAGGCTCATAGCGATACCAGTAGGGGCCGCACCATCATCAGAAGTGGTTGATGAAGCAGAGCCGGATGCCGAAGCCGAAGCCGAAGACGAAGCAGCATCCGAACCGGTGGCAGTAGAGGAGGAAGATGAGTCCGTGGCAGAAGACGAATCGGTAGAAGACGAAGCGTCGGAGGATGAAGCGTCAGAGGAAGATGCACCAGAGCTAGAAATGCTGGTGGAGGTGACAGAGGCAGTGCTGGGGCTAGAGCTGCTGGCACCGGAGCTTGTGATCTCGGCGGAGATGGACGATGCGAAGGAAGGATAGTACCCCTCAACCGCAGTGGTCACGTACTCCTTCACACTGTCCGGAAGGCTGCTGTACCAGGTTGGCCAGGAGTTAGAGACAATGCCTTGCTCGACTTGGGAAAGGAAATCGGCGGTGTTGGTGGCTTCGGCCCAGAATGAGGTTGGGACGGCGGTTGCGAGAACCACGGCAATGGAGGGGGGAATGATATCCGAGAGGCTGTCTTCTGTGGATTCAAGATCGGAGTTGGTGTCGGCCGGGGCGGCCATAGCCATACTGGCGAAGAAGAGGGCTGTGAAAGACTTGTACTGCATGGTGATGATTGGAGGAAGTATACACTTCGGGTATAAGGGAGAAGACAAAATGCAGGTGTATAGGAGTTGTTACTAGGGTAATTGAGCAAGTTAAAAAAAAGAAGAGAAATCTACATATGGGGGCTTTGTGCTTAAATATGCCAGATATGTTGTCATAAACCCTGGAAGGCAGTGCTAACTAAAAACATCACAGGGCTGGAGCTCTAGCGGCGCCCCCCGAACGAGCCCATCGCGCTTTGTTCCCGGGTCCACCACTGACAGCCAATCGCAGGCTCGTCGCCCCCAAAAGTTGTCGATCAAGTGGGAAAAGGCGCACCTAGGAACTTTCATCGCGCAATCTTTCGCCCTATGTACAATATCGAATGTTGGGAGTTAGGTCCACACCATGCTGCGAAATTACCCGACACTCACAATCTAGGGCAAGGCTGCCAGAAGCTAAGCGATGCCCCCTGTTTTACTGCTTTCGGAACTCATACAAGTCCTGATGTTTCTCCAGAGCTTGACGCTGTAGTCGTGAATTGAAGGTTCGGCGTTCCATCCGATTGCCAAGCACTTAGACTGTATTACGCACGCCCTGTTTGCACGTCTGTTTATTATTGATTGGGTTCGGAGTTTCTTGGATATTTATATGACATCATTTTCTGGGGGCGGGCAAGATAACTTGGAATTGATCGTTGCTGCCTTTGTTTGCACATCATTTGACTGGTGCTTGGAAAGTGGTGTTATCCCCACCTGGTTTTGTGTATGGAATTGTCGGTGCTACCCGAGGGTTCAATGAGGTAGCATATTATTGAATCTATAACGTGGTTTATGCACTGCCTAAACATCTCGTCGATCACCATCCGTGGGGTGTCATTAGCACAAGGTATCGAAAAGGGTCTACAACTTACACAGCCCTGTAGGCCAGGTTATTTGTGTTAGGTAAAAGGCTGTCAATACATATAATAAGAACTTTTATTTTAATGAAAATGAATCAATCTACAACATACAGAAATGCCGAGACATATTAAGTTGGGTCCGTTTGGGTGCTCTTTGATGGGCACCTGCAGTGCGTGATATGACCACTATGGCTACGTACTTTTATTCTCGGCGTTCATAATGATGTGCATCATTCCAGATAACGGTCGTCAAGCCCTCATATTTTATGCGTCTTGCATACATGTGTAAGAAGCACTATATATATCTCAACTCGTGACCAGCAGCTCCAACCATGTTATAGTGTCAACTCCGGCATGAGCTATCAAACTCCATGTATACATCCTCCAGGGCTTTGAAGCGATAAAACAAGTATTGTTTCTTTGTAGAGAAACATACAGGCAGTGAGTCCCGTGCCAAAAAGTATCTTCATTCACTGTCAGGCCAAGGCTACTATGGCCCCACTTGATAGCTATGTTCACATCAGGTTTTTTGATGGCAAAATTTCTCACTTCATTACTGATATACTAGAGAAATTTGAACAACAGGAGAAACTTAAGGCCTGATAAATCGCTCAAATAAAAAAAAACAGCCATTTACCAAGTTTAAATGCATGAAATGGGTATAGGAATTTAGATCAGGAGCAAAAAAGAAATCTCTCCCTCGGGGAATCGAACCCCGGTCTCCCGCGCTTATCGGTTTTAATGACAAGCGGAAATCATCACCACTAGACCAAGGAAGATGCGACGGTCGAGTTACTGCTCGACCACTTGGCTGGTTGATGGAAGGACTTGGTCATCTAGACACTATGATCGTAAAGTTCACTGAGCGGCCTTAGTCAAACCCGCCGCCCCTTTTCCCATCCAATCACTATGCAGTTTAATGGCCGGTCCTTACAAGCACTCCTCTAGCCTATCTTACAACTTTATAGCCATTATCCTTATTGGAGATAGCCCAGCCCAAATCCCACTATCCCCACTATTCAATGTTCTCAAACGGCAAGTCCTGGAGAAGTCCGGGTCTAAGAGCCAAAGAACATTCCGACTTACCCGCAGGAAGCAATAAATACTTCATTAATCACCATAATCTTTGCGCGGGTTCAATAATCACTTAACACTGGAAATCATGACATCTGTTTTCAAGAATGGGCGCATCTTCATGCCCTCGCAAGGCTCGAGTAATGAGGGCAACTTTGCCGAGAGCATGATCATCGAAAATGATAAGATCTCCCATGTCGGCTCTCTCGATGGAATAAAGATCCCAGAAAATGCAAATGTCATTGACTTGGAAGACCGCACTGTCATTCCGGGTTTCATCGACGCCCATGTACACATTCTTCAATACGGGCAATCATTGCGTAAAGCCGATCTCATCGCATGCACCTCACTTGATCAAATCCGTGAAGTCATCAAATCTTATGCCGAAGCCAATCCATCTCTGCCGCGCATATTATGCAGAGGCTGGATTCAATCATCTACCAATGGAATCGCACTAGCAACTATGCTGGATGGTATCGACCCACGTCCCATCTTTGTTGACTCTTTCGACCTCCACTCTATGTGGTGCAGTGCAGCGGCTCTTGATGAAATGGGGGCTCATACTGCCCCCGATCTTCCCGGTGGAACCATCCACCGCAATGAAAATGGAAGCGCTTCGGGCCTACTTGATGAATCTGCTATTATAAACCTTGCATGGCCTTATCTAGAAAGTGTCACCTCCACGGAAGACAAACTGAGTGCATTGGACACTGCAGTCGCTGCATACACCGCTGCCGGATATACTGGACTAGTGGACATGGCCATGGACGAAAAAACCTGGAAAATTCTGAATCTCTACCGTCGCGATCATACCATCCCATTCCACATTGGCGCACACTGGCTCGTCCCCTTCTCAGCGGATCAAACCGCCAACTTCAAATACGTGGATCGAGCAATCGAGTTACACAACCAGTACAACGAGCCCGATTTCCATGTACTCGGAATAAAGCTCATCTGCGATGGCGTTGTCGACGGATGCACTGCCGCTCTCCTCCAACCATACACTGGAAAATCCGATCCCGTCGAGCCAATCTGGCCAGAAGATATGCTACAAGAAGTAGTCCAGCGCGCCGACTCAGCAGGCATTCAATGCGCAATCCATGCGATAGGCGACAAGACCATCCACCAAGCAATCAACGTGCTGTCGAGAGTCGGCACGCCAGGCCGGAGACACAGAATCGAACACCTGGAGCTGACAACCTCGGAAGATGCCAAGCGACTCGGTCAGCTGGGTATCACGGCCTCGGTCCAGCCTGTGCACTCCGATCCCATGCTTTTCAAGGCGTGGCCTGGTCTTGTGGGCCCCGAGCGCTGTAAGCGTGCATTCGCCTACAAGGACTTCCTAGATGGGGGTGCTCCGATTGCTATCGGAACGGATGCTCCTACTGCGGCTCACTTTCCTTTTCCTAATCTTTACAATGCTACTACTAGGCGCTCGGCTCTTCAGACCGAGACTGATGATACTGTAAACGCGCATTTTAAGTTGGGTTTGGCTGAGGCGGCTACTGCTGCTACGGCTGGTGCGGCTTATGCGCGGTTTGCTGATTCTTGGACTGGAAGCCTGCGGAGTGGATTGTATGCGGATTTCTTGGTTGTTGATATGCAGTGGAAGCCGGAGACTTTACTTGAGGCGCGTGTCTGTCAGACTTGGTATCGGGGGAAGAAGGCTTTTGATTCGTGCAGTGGTTGACAGTGGTGACTTGTAGACTATGAATTATATAGAGGAATCCAATGATGTACAAAGAAGTATACAAAGAAATTAGGATTCATTTGTCTATTCCTTAATGGCGTTGGGTATTGCTTCTATGCGAGGTGGATATCATGGTGACATCACCAGTACGCGGTTGCCTCTCGGAGCATTTGAGGCTACCATAATGTAAAATTTACAGAAAAAAGTAAGACAGTAAGATATACAATATAGATTGACAGTTTTTAATTTACATCTCATGGTCGCTTCATGAAGGCATCACTTCTGGAGCTGATTCTAAGTTTTCCCTCCGAACCTTTCAGTGTAGTCCCGAGTCCAACAAAAGGTATGAACATCATTTACTCTTCGAGTTGTTCAGGGTGCGCCTGGAGCCCACGGTCGGTACTTAGATCAGAGAGGAAGGAATCTAATGCTCGTTAGTATATGCAATATGACCTGAGGTCTTAGGTTGGACATATAATACATACTGTGGTCTACGTCCTGCGAAGACCGGCGCCCTGTTTTCTTATTCAGGCCCTCCAAGGCATGTTGGTGTGCAAGTTCTGAGCACATTGCACGGGCAGATCTGTTTTTTTGAATCGGTCAGTTATAGGATACTTCAGGGCAACCTTGTGAAGCAAGGTTGTATTTTAAACGCACGGGGCAACTTCTCTGTCCACCAAGAGATTCTCATCTTTGACATCGGATTGGTCTTGCTGTTGATGCTCCATATTTCCCAGAGAGCTGCGGCGCTTTTCGTAATTGGGATCTAGGGGATTGTGATCAATGTCGGTTTTGACCATATTCGCGTAGTAGACTGTGTAGTGGTGGCAAATTAAGAATTGGATATATGTGAAGTGTTAAAAAGTGAAGTGGCTTGGAAATGTGTCGGAGACATAAGGGAAAATAAAGTATTTAAGTTATGTTTAGATGCGGGGAGTCTTCGATGTCATAAGTTGGGCGTGGCAAACTTATGATATAAACACTTCTTGTGAACCTATTAGGGTCATTATGATCCTGGTATTTAAATGAAACTGTCGCCCATCCTTACTTTCAAGGATGAGGAAGAAATTAAGGAGATTACTTATTGTGATACTCACACGAAATCAACTTGAGCGTTACAAAAGGCGAATTAGTTATGAGGTCAAGTGCTCGTCAATGAACGGCAGGATGGCAAAATTAGTAATGTTCTGGGTCTTTTGAATGTTTGGGATTGTGAAATGAAAGGATAAGCAGAGGAGGGATGTGAAAAATATAGATACAGTGATGCTCACGAGATCATCGCCCCTTTATAGTTTTCCTCTATACTTTATCTAAGCCTCCAACAAAGACATCATCATACAATCTCATCCTCATATCCATTCCTGTTCTTCTGGTTAAGCCTTCTTGTGTCCTTTCCCTTTTCTCGTTTACTTTTGGTATGGGACTTTCCTAGTTGTCCGCTTACCATTGAGTCCGAACCACCGGGGGAACCCCCCAAGGCTTCCAGATCGCGATGGGCAGTAGTAACATTCAGTTTCCAAGCATGAGACATACCAGCACCATTCTTTAGCAGTAAAAGTCTTTGGGCTAATTCTTCCACAAAAGCAACACTTCGGTGGCGGCCTTCCTCACAACACACAGTCACAACTAGTGGGATATTTGGGTGCTGGTGAGTGCTGTTTGTCGTGATTTCAGACTCGTTGCTATGGCTTTTCGGTTTTTGTAAAGAAGCATTTTCTTGGAATAATGCATATTGAATTGTCTTGAGTGAGTTGACAATCTCATTCAGCGTTTTTTCAAGGAAGTTTTCCACGGTGTCATTCTTCAGAAACTCCTTACGAAGCCGAGGTGATAGGCCAGTTGTCATGGCACGTAGATTTCGCGGTGGATTTGGAAGATGGCGAATATTATATGACAAGAGTATTGAGTTCGGTTCCTGACTTGCAGGTGTTACCAATGGGCCATTGGCATGACCGTATGAGCAGAGTGAGACAGTGATTAATGGGCGCCACGGCGATGTCAGGCTGCTGGCCACCGGGGAAACCATCGTGGTTTGAGCTGAATAATGATTTTATCTCGTAAGTATTGGTCTTCCAGTTTGACCTCGGGAAGTCTGCCTGCTTAGTGTTAGCTTGGCTCATTTGCTGAATGTAGATACATGCAAAGAGGGAAGCAGTTACCTAAACAAGAAGACGGACTAGTACCTATTAGGCAATGAAATGCGATCGCGGGAATGGGATCGATCCGCAATGAAGGATCGTTTGGCATCAACGCTTGGATCCGAATTGAAAGGTTCGCTTCGAAATGATTTCATTAGAATATTTGACAGATATCGAAATTGGGGCTTGGAGTTTGTAGATGACTCATATGCGGCTGAAGCGACCGTTCACTATTAATAGTTTGATAATCTTATAGAAGGATAGAACAATAGAATACATAGGAATTTGGTTTATACGCTATAAAGTAACTGATGGCTATGGTGATAGAACAAAGACTTAACAAGACAAGACCATCCCAGTCACCTGAAGAGTCACTATTTTACCTAAAACCCTCTGATTGATAGTGATTAAAGTAAATTAAGCCATTTTCTTGGCTTCACAAGGTGAGCCCTTAGACCCCACCACGTCTTGGCTTCTTGATGCAGCCTAGGTACAACATAGAACGATTAGCGATCCGATGTTGAAGCTGCGAGATCGCGAAACAGGGAATGATAAATAATCACCAAAACGATATTCTAGACCTGATCAACGAAAATTGCTTAGCTTGAGGCGTATCCCGCAAGGCAAGGCGAACATGATTGGCCTCGGGGTAAATCCCACAGGGCCGACAAAGCCAATGTGGGGTGTAGAAGCAGATCATTTAGCTAATTCCTTCATCTAAGCACATCAACAAAAGAGCCGGTCAAAGCAATGTCATTAGCCAACCGGGTTGTGTGATGTTGAAATCGACCCTGGGGCATTTTGTCACTAGTCCTAAAGCGGCTATTGTCTGGAGAACTGGGCCTGTGGTGGGGAGAGGATCACTCTCTGTTCGGATCCTCAGTTGTGATGGCGCGCGCAGATTTTTTTTTCACGGGTCAGATGGGTTTAAATGAAGCTGGAATTCTCTATTTGTCAAAAGTCTGAGCTTGAAAAATCACATTGCTGCTAGCAACTACGATCTATATCAAATCTTTTTAGCGGAAAAATTACATCATACCTTTCAAGTTCGGTTCACTCCGGATCACCACGCGGAAGAGAACCACAAAGACAATAAGAACATATACCAGCCTTGAAGAGTTACGTTGAGTCGTGGCGGGATCGGAATGGTATTCGCGCGTGGCGATGTCTCCGGGCATGATGATCAGACAATAGGTAAACCGGAACAATACCAGCAACCAAGATCCAGAATATTGACTAACAGCAATACAGATCATCAAGATCCTAGCAAAGAGGTGACAATTGTGTCTTGGGATGGGCCACGAGATCCCGGAAACCCATACAACTGGTCTCTATGTGAGAAATGGCTCCTCACTGCCCTCGCCGTGTTCGCCACCTTCATGACCATGATCAACGGCACAATTTTCACAGTAGCCCACGATCTCATGAATGAGCGCTTTCACATTTCAGACGCCAATTTTCCTCACTCCTACTGGCCCGTCACATCATGGGCCGTTGGCGGCGGCTGTTTCTCCCTGCTCGTCCTCCCGCTCATGGAAGACTTTGGTGTGCGATGGGTGTTCTTGGGCACGTATGTGACTTTTCTCTGTTTTGTCGTGCCCCAGGCCGTGGCACAGAATTTTTACACGTTAGTCATCACGAGATTCTTCGCCGGAGGATGTGTCTCCATCCTTGCCAATACCTCTGGTACGGTGATTGGGAATGTCTGGGACACCGAGCGGAATCGCAACGTCCCTGTTAGTCTTTTCATCGTTGCCTACCTGTCGGGTAGCAGCATCGGACCTGTCATTGGAGCTGCTATCTACCAGGCTCTCACGTGGAGGTGGATTGGATATATCCAGCTCATATGGTATGGTGCTTTCTTCCCTCTATACCTCTTCTTATTCAAGGAGTGTCGTGGAATTGCAATCCTAGGACAGCGAGCTAAGGCTCTGCGTCGTGAAGGCAAGCACGCCTATACCCAGCATGAAATCGACACACAAGGCCAGTCGATTTTGAGTATCGTGGGCCACAGCGCCAGCAGGCCTCTTTTCCTGTTCTTCACGGAGTCTGTGGTATTCGTCTCGACGCTATGGTCCGCCTTTACCGTCGGCACATTATATCTATTCACCCAATCTGTTGAGCAGGTATTTGCAGAACTGTATGGCTGGACACCAGCACAAGCTGGATACGTCCAAGCAGCAGTCGTGATCGGAGAACTCCTGGGATGGGTGATTACCTTGTTCTCAGGCAAACTTTACTTTGACTCGGCATCCCGGAACAAGGAAATCCCCGGAACGCCTATTCCGGAGGCTCGGCTATACCTTGCTATTTTGGGCGGCATATTCGGTATCTCTGGTGGCATGTTCACATACGCTTGGACATCATATCCCGACTTTCCGTGGATTGCACCGGCCGTTGGTCTCGCCATGGTAGGGGCCGGTAGTGTTATTGTCGTCACGGGAATCTCTGACTACGTGGTGGATGCGTACAGCAAATACGCGGGTAGTTGTATGGGTATCATTGCTACTGGTGAAAATACGTTGGCGGCATTTCTACCTCTAGCCACTATGAGCATGTATTCTCATCTTGGTCTCGAGTGGGCTAGTACGGTGCTAGCCTTCATTGCGCTGGCTCTATCTTTTGCCCCGATATTGGTGCTTATTTGGGGCAAAGATATCCGAGCACGGAGTCCGTTCATGAAGGAAGCCATGGTGGAGAAGAGGAGGAAGAGTATCGACTCTGTTTGACCAGGTTTGCTTTGTACATAGATCGCTTTGAAAAACATATCGTACATATCAAGAGACTTCAAAATATGTTTCTTATCTTCACTGAAAATTTTCTTGTATCTCAGTTCAGCGTTCTCCCTGATCCACGTGGACGAGTAAATCAAGACCACCATGTTCTCCGAGGAGTTCCCTAAGGGCTAGACTATCGAACTTTGTAAGCCACCTTTGTTTCAGTTTGCTCTGATCGAAGAACTGAATCTAAGACAACATTTTCACTTCACGAACCCCCTACATGAGCAAGAACACATGGAGACTTGGTGAATTTAATTAGATTGTAAATTCAATGCCAAGAAACGAGTGGATACTAATTGTAAGAAAAACATCAATATAGTTTGAATCAGGGGCAATTCTCATCGAGCTCGAAAAACGCCGGAGATATGCCAGATTGCGGATTAGATCAGGGATGCGCCGCTAACCCGAAATGAACCTCCCCCCTGAACCTCCACACCATGTGTCCTTTCCACGTGTATTCTCCCTAGTCCTCTGAGGCAAGGTGATTATTGCCGATTAACGATGTATTTTGGGAATATTATACCTGTTAGCCACAGACCGGCCAACCAGAGTAAAGAAGAAGAAGAAAAGAAAAAAAAAAACAACGCCACAAAACAACACCACTCTATCGCAACCAGCGAATCCAACAACCTTGTTAGGAATGATAGCCGGATTACTCCATTAGTCTTGCTCGCCTTCAAGAACAGGGGTTAAACGGGCCAAACCGCATCCCCTCTTCCTTGATAAGTCGTTTACCGGCTTATCCTTCCGCATGAGGTTCCTTGCATGAGTAGAGGCATAACGTCCCCACGTTTCTCATAACGACTCAACCTTCGAACTTCTAGATCGTTTCAGAGTCGACGATCAAACGGCTTGACTCCCGGGTGCCCTGTGCCCTGTGCGATGGCCTGACTATGTACGGAGTACGGAGCACGGAGTACGTACGGAGTACAAATATAGAGCAGCGTGTTTTGTACCTCCACACTCCGTACAACATACTCCGTACGGAATACTGCGTTTGAACTAGCTGGGTATCTCTGCCGAGAATATGTGCTAGTTTCCCAGGGGGCCGGGAAATGTGGTCAGAGCTGAAACCTCCAGCCAGAGTCTATATTGATGAAGTTTGGACGATGATCGTAGGTTTGGATATTTTTCGGGCCCGATTTGATACGGCCGGCTCTGTTGGGCAAGGCGCTAGCCATACAAACAGATCTTGGTTCTCTTTGTATCCATTTATTTTTGGATCTTTTGGTTCAATGGTTTATAGGCCGATGGTTGATAGGGTGATGGTTGATAGGGGTCGTTTCTTTACCGAACTATTCCGTACATAGTCAAGATTCAATGGGAAGAAGATTCAACGGGTTGTTTTTGGTTCGAGGATGAGACATTTTGACAAATAGATATATACGCTGATCTGATAGTGACGATCTCTGTGGATGGAGATAACATGATTATGCATATTTGTACTCTGTTATTTCATATTTTTCAGAGACATGAGTGTGTAACCACCTCGGAGTTGTGCAAAGCTCCTTTGGCTACCGAGCTCATTGAAATTTCTGATCAGGAGGCCGTCCATAAACAGAGTAGTCCACATGCTGTGGGGTGTATCCAATGCCTAGTTTGGGACTCTGCCCTCCTTCCCACCCTATAGAAATGCTTTGGTACCTGTTATCCACGTGGTCTAGAACTTTGTTCATCCTATGACATGGTTGGCTTGCCCCGGGAAAAGTGGACCGGACACAGAATACAGGGACAGAGTAAAGGTACTCCGTACAAAAAAAAAACAAGATATGTGTCTGGCTTGGTTTTGCATAGTAGGAAGCAACCAAGTATGATGTATCCATGTACAATTGAGAGGTAACTAGTAATTCTTCAACATACCGGGTACGTTGTAAGGGGTACTCCGTACTTTATCCCCATTACTCCGTAGACCAGTCTGATACGGCGGTCCAAAAGAGATCAGTCGGAAATACCGGATGGACGATCCCAAAGCCACAGCCGTTTACATCCAAAATTGCACCAGAGCTCGGAGAAAATACCAGGGGAAAATTCGGGAGGTTTCAATGCATGTAAGCGCCCACTGTCCTTCTGAAACAACAGGGCGGGTGCTTCAGGTCGCAGCGCCAGTTTGATGGGCCTTGGCGGTATCCACCTTTTTTTCCCGTTGGACTCACACTGCCATCTTGTCTAGAAGGATCTCTGAATGTGGCAAGTGATATGTTTATCACTTGTATATGCAGCCTGGTCACCATGTGGATTGGGCCAATCATCAATTTTGACATGCAATACTATACAAATCTTGTATGTTGTACAAAAGAATTAAGACAGGGGGGGTTATATTCGCTTTGTTAACAAGAACAGTGGCTTATTTTAGTTAGATATCAAACTATGAAGACTTACAAACTATTGTAATGATTGTATTCACTTGAGACAACTCTCTTTATGTATCATTAACAAAGATAGTCTCCAGGGCTGAAGTATGAATTATGAATGTGCACTATGTGCTCCGTACTCCGTACACCGTAGACATGTACCTGAACCTGAACCTTGATTTCCTGTTCCGCCCTGTAAATGACCAATAGATACAATGTAAATAACACGCAATACCAGATTCATACCATATTAATAACAAAAATAAACATAAATAACACGATTCACACCCTTTCACGGTGGATAATAGGTCCCACCTCCGGTATGACTAAGAATCACCCAAAATAACATACTAGTTTCTGACCGGTCAGATGTCCCTGGGCGCTTCCCCCATTCCCAGCTTCGATTATTATTAGACTTGACTGTATCTTCTTTCCCCCCCCTTCTTCTTCTTCTTCACCAATACTCGAGCTTCCTCATTCACTTTCGTTTCTTGCTTCCGCTGCGCGCGAAAATTCCAGAGGCTTACCGGCTGGTCCAGTTTCATTCTCTGACAATCTCTCTTTATTTCTCTTTGTCTACGAGGCTGGTTCCTCTTCCCTAGACCCTTTCCGTGCATTTGTGTGATCTAGAACTTCTCCCGATCGGATATCATCTCTTACTGGTTGGCGACGTTGATCCTCGCACTTCCGATCCTATCCTGTTGGACCATTCAGCTGGTGAGTTTGATCCGAGGTCTTGCAGCTATGTCTCAGCAGAGTCGCAGAGAGGGTTCATTTGATTGGACTCAGATCGCCCTCTTTGTTTGCGCATGCGTTATCAGGCGGTCTTTTCCCCGGTGCTAATTATCTATACAGTGCGCTTCACACAAAAACAAAAATGTATCCTCAACCAGGTGCCTCAATCCCTATGGCACCACCACAAAAGCCCGAAACTTTCATGCTCTCGACCGAAGCACAACGAAGCCTACCTCACGACGCGCAAGTTGCTCTTCAGCAAGTGGATAACCGTATGTCTTTGGGTGGTTTCTTATCCCCGCATCAAAGCAATGTATTGACATGGGGCCAGTGAAATATTTCCTTCTGTCAGCTCCTGTTGACTGGCAACCGGATCAACTTATTCGACGCTTTTTGCTTCCCACAGGCGATTATGTCTCTTGTGTTTACTGGTTCGTCTCACTTTAGAGCGTGATGGCCTAGGAAGCTGACTGACCCCGTTTTCAATAGGAGCGGCCTTTTCCATATCTCCGGTACCGATATTGTCCGATGCCTCGCATTTCGATTCCAAGCCTTTGGACGTCCGGTGAAGAACTCGAAAAAGTTTGAGGAGGGCATTTTCTCCGATCTACGAAATCTCAAGGCCGGCGTAGATGCGGTCCTGGAGGATCCCAAGAGCCCGTTCCTGGACTTCTTGTACAAAAACAACTGTATTCGGACCCAGAAGAAGCAAAAGGTGTTTTACTGGTACGGCGTGCCCCACGACCGACTATTCCTCGATGCACTGGAACGGGATTTGAAGCGCGAAAAAATGAACCAGGAGGCCACCACGGTCGCAGTCAGCGAACCGGCCATGTCCTTCGAATTCGACTCGTCCCAGTCTCTTTACGAGCAATTGACCAAATCACAACAAGTGAATATAAACTCGTTCGCTGCCCACGCAAGTACGACATATGGCCAGCCCAACTCCCCCGTGGTTCGGACCGTTGACGCAATGCCTCCTCCGCAGATGGCTCCCCCAGCGATCCCAATGATGCAGGAAGACCCTGGGAATCAGATGTACAGCCACCCACAGATGCCCCTTTCGAACAATCTAGTCCAGAGCATCATTAAGCGCGAGCATGACTACGGCCCCATCCAGTACGACCGCCACGGAATGCCCATTCCCCGCCCTCATCAGCGCCATTCTTCCATGCCCACCTTCTACGAGTACTCTCCTGCGCCTTCCTTTGTATCTTCTCAATATGAGGATTACAGCAATCGCGGCCTGTCCTTCGAACCAGTCACCCCGCCACAGCATTCAATCGGACTCGGAGGGGAACCGGCTTACATCGCCAACGAAGACACCGGACTTTACACAGCGATTCCAGATATTTCAAGTGGGCCCGCCTATCACCCTATGATGCAGCTGCCTCCTTCAAACCTGGCTAGTTCTCATTATCAGCCTGCGCCCCGGTCCTTTTCGGCAAACCCGTATCCCGTCATTGAGGGATCCCCGACATACAAGCAGCGCAGACGTAGGTCATCTATCCCGCCAAATAGCGGTGTTGTCGCACCTAGTGGCGCAGCTCACATCCAATCAACCACTCCGGGGGTTCAGTCAGTCTCGTACGCTGCTCACCGACCAAGTGACCTGCGGCGTTCGGTTTCTAGCTCAGTCGCTCCAGTCGCAGAGGGGGATGAAGCCACCCAGGAACTCGCTCGCACTTACCCAAGTGCGATGCTGCCACAAAAGGATCTTCTTCATGACATGTCCCGTCATGGCACGCCGCTGCAGAACCTGGATCAGACCACCGTACAACATCCAGGCTCAATGGGTAGCCAATCAAATGATCTGACGTCTCTGCCAAGCAGCAGTGCCATCGAAACTGCGGTTCAAAACACTGGTCGGTCCGAGCGTTCGGCGCCTGGTCCTACTCGGAGAGCCAGGAGTGCAACCATGATGGAGTTGGGACCATATCCAACCAAAGCCCATTCTTGCCCCATCCCGTCATGTGGTAGAACTTTCAAGAGATTAGAGCACCTCAAAAGGTAAGCTTACTTCTATTTTTGCACCCACGTTGGTGGGGCTGATCGGCCCCGTGCGCTGGTGAGACTGTTTCGATAGCCGCCGACTAACCCCTCTTTGTAGACATGTGAGAACCCACACACAAGAGCGTCCGTACCCCTGCCCTTATTGCAGCAAAGCTTTCTCGAGGTCCGATAACCTTGCGCAGTAAGTTATTATTATTGGTCTATTTCTTATACGACTTGCACTAATATTCACTAGACATCGTCGGATCCATGAAGCGCAGCAGGATGGTCAAACAATTGTCCCAACTGATGAAGATCTAGAGAATGACGCACATGAATTTGGTTCTCCTCGGGAAGAGATGTCCCCACCGGAGCCTGCTCACACGATGATTAGCATGCCTAACATGACGTCGATGGCAGCTCCTTTGAGTATGCCGTCCGCCCTGACCGGCATGCCTACTTCACACATGATCGCTCCGCAACTTCTCCAACAACACATGTGAGAACTTCACAGAGCATGGTGTGTCTAGCGCGAAACATTAGATGGCATCACCTCATGTACTCATTGTCGGGGATCTTGTGAGCAAATTTTTCAATTCTCTTCTCTTCTGAGTCTTCGGGGCGCATATAGGCGTTCTTTTTTTTGGTTCGGGGTTTATATCGCCTCTTGTTTAATCGCACATGGTCCAATGTCGGCCTTGCACATACCGCGATATTCATGTATAGCCCGCGCGTTATGTCTTCGCTTGTCTTTTGACACCGTGTGCATTTTCTTTTGGATTATTTTGGGTGGTTTTTTTTGGTTTTTCGCACTGTGCGATGGTTACAGGAAACACCGTGTATTATTGGTGTCGATCGCCCTGCACGTGAATTGGGTTGCGCTGGCAGACATTCAATTCATGCTGCCTGGCGGGCACGGGCACGAGAGAGGCTCTACTACCTCTCAATGGGAAATGGGTTGGGAAGGGAAAGATTCGGGTTGGATTCTTCTTGGATTGTCAGGCATTGTCCATGAAGACCGGCCGGGAATGGAAAGGGTTATTTTGGATGAATCACAATATAGTTATAGACAGAGACATTGTGTAACGACTTTGAACTGGAATTGAAAAAAACACTTGAAAATTCCTTATCCATCAACATTCCCTTGCTTTGTTCGGGGTACTAAACTACTCTTGCTGCTCTTGCTAGTATCCGTCTACGGTACGGTGGCGAAGATGTGATTAAGGGCTGTTATGGCCTATAAATGAAACATCACGTGTTGCTGACGTAGATCACCCCTGCAGTCATGATAGGGATACTAAGCAGACCCATCTGACACACCGCGCTTTGATTAGAGGGGCTATACCCTGTCGAGTTTTAACTTCTTTCAGCTACCTATATCGTTACTAACCGATGCGTGGCTGCCACCATCTAACATCGCTCCATCTTTCTGACGGTATCTACTTCCCCACACTCCAAGAATCCACAGTCCGCAGTCCACACTATTTATCACCAACACGAGCATCGTAAAGTTGATTAAGAAGAACTTCGATCCCAGCAACTACTATCAAAAAAGCATATCCCAGCTCAGCTGAACCCTGAGCCACAGTGAGCAGCTGGAACTCAAAGCAGCCCCAACCATTGCAAACACGCATCAGCGAGTTCCATGAGTTAATCCTGGTCGGTGCCAATTCAACACATCGAAAGCCCGACTCTTGAATTCTCCGATGGGAAACTTAGATTACAAGTCTACCCCTGGTTCTAGCAACGAGAGCTCGCCCCTCATGGTTGCCACTCGCTCTGCAGACAGTCGTGGTGGGCGCCCTCGTGTTGGTGCCGATGAGTCGTCTAAGAATGCGCTCTACATGTTTCTTTTGACTCTGTCTATTGGTGGGTAAGTATTTCTGCATTTGGTAATTTGATTCTATTTGCTTATGTGTTACCTCTGATTTGTATACTGGTCATTTATTGATATTGGGGTTTCTTTGACAGACTTCAGATTGTTTGGTCCGTTGAACTTTCTAATGGATCGGTAAGTACAAGTCGCTACTCACAGGGGATGAATCCATTTTGATTTTCATACTATTCCTGTCGCCGCAAGCTGTAAGATTGGATAGAAGCATATGCTGACCTGGGTACAGCCATACCTTCTATCCCTCGGGATGAGCAAGTCGCTTCTTGCCTTTGTATGGATAGCCGGTCCCTTGACGGGTGCGCTGGTGCAACCATACATCGGAATTAGAAGCGACAACTGCCGACTCGCGTGGGGTAAGAGAAAACCGTTTATGGTTGTTGGAGGCGCAGCAACTATCGTTTCATTGCTCGCTTTGGCATGGGTGAAAGAGCTTGTGGGAGGCTTTCTGTCTATATTCGGTGTTGAATCAACATCTGCAGGTGCCAAGATTGTTATCATTATCATGGCAACGATTTTCATGTATTGCCTTGATTTCGCCATCAACACAGGTGTGCAGGTCGGTATATTCACGTTCATGATCGCTTGGCTAATCACCATATTATAGTGCAAGCTGCAATCAGAGCATTCATTGTCGACAACTGCCCCACTCACCAACAGGAGCTATCCAACGCTTGGGCTAGTCGCATGGTCGGCGTTGGCAACATCTTGGGGTATATCTTTGGCTACATGGACCTGCCGAAGATTGTGCCTTTCTTGGGAAATACCCAGTTCAAGGTCCTATGTGTAATCGCCTCAGTCTTTCTGAGCGCAACCCTTGCCATTAGTTGTGTCTACATCAAAGAGCGGAATCCCCAAGGAGACGGGCCTGTGACTGACAAGCTTGGCTTGATCTCCTTTTTCAAACGGGTCATCAAGTCTATTCAGAGTTTGCCAACACAGATTTCCCGCGTCTGTCAGGTGCAGATTGCAGCGTGGGTAGGCTGGTTCCCATTCCTGTACTATTCTACCACCTATGTCGGGCAGCTGTACGTCAATCCCGTTTTCGCAGATAACCCCCATCTCTCCGAGGGTGAGGTCGATAAGGCCTGGGAAGATGCTACTCGCGTCGGGACATTGGCCCTCCTCATCTATGCTATCATCTCTTTCCTTGCCAATATGCTGCTTCCTCTTTTCGTGGTCCCACTGTATGGACCGGCGCCAGACACCGCTTCGCAACGGGATTCTCTAGACGGCGATTTAGATGACGATGCAGAGCCAGCTGCAAGGAGGCTATCATTCTCAAGCATGCCGACAGGAAATGCATCCGAACCTCTGCTCGACGCAGTTCCAGTCGAACGGGAGACCGAAGGGAAACCGACTTGGCTTTCACGTCTGCGCATCCCAGGCTTGACTCTCCCGCGGGTATGGCTCCTATCCCATCTCCTCTTTGCCGCGTGCATGTTCAGCACTTTCTTCATCTACTCCCACCAGGCTGGGTCGGCGTTTGTGGGCTTCGTCGGTGTCTCCTGGGCTGTAGCGCTGTGGGCTCCCTTCGCTCTTATCGCGGCGGAGGTAGCTAGGATTGACCCCTCAAGACACAGCCATCGCCGCACAGCTCACTCTGACTACAACGAGCATGAAGGTGAGGCTCAGGATGGGGGTCCTGGTGAATATAATAGCGTCGGAGGCGGTGATGTTGAGCATGGACACCCGAAGCATCATAATGATGGTGGGGATGTTGCACAGGCTGGGATTATTCTTGGACTGCATAATATGGCAATCTCTCTGCCCCAGATTCTGTCTAGTCTTGTTTGCAGTGCTATCTTCAAGGCATCTCAGAAGCAAAGAGGGGAGCCGTGGGATGATAGTGTTGGCTGGGTGTTACGGTTTGGTGGATGTGCCGCGCTGGTGGCTGCGTGGCTGACTAGGAGGGTTTCGGATGGATCAAGATAGATATGGATACATAGATGCTACAATGCATTCATTGATTTCTTAATAATGTTGTATATATTCGGTTTTAAGCTAAAGATTAACCCCCAGCCTTGTCTGTAGCATAAAATACATGATTCTGCAGGGGATAGCGATTGTCGTACGAAGTATGTGGGTCCTTCTATGCAGCCCTAGAGCAGTATAGAGCAATCAGATCACAGTATGGAATAATGATGATGTGTTTTCCCACTGAATTGATAACCCTTTGTTCCTGGCTATTTTGCCCGAATCCACCGGTTCCTTGGCAGTTGCGCGGCACCTCGAAACTCGGCCCACGTGTAATTTCAAATATCAATACACAACAATCTTACGTTATCGCTGTATTATTCCAGTTTTCCCACCAATTTGGCCCCAGCCAGCCCTGTCGTATTTTGTATTGTACAACTCCATACCTGACCTCATATCTGTCCCTCTGATGCAACTTGGCAGTGTTGTTGCTGACCCAATTCGATCTTGTCGCAACCTCTCGCTTTCCATATCTCCGTGGACTATGCTATGTGCGCCTGGTCCTGTCATCTCAATTTCACTGTGGGAGTGAACTGCCAGTCATCCGCCCTGGCCCTTCATACTACCTAAGGCGTGAGCCGCGATGGCTAGCCAATTTATGAACGATGGCCTACACGCCCTGCTTCGTATGTCCCTCCGATCGGTGGTCTTGGACGCTGCGCTTGAATTCACTGTTCGGACTGAGAGCTAACATATCTATCTTTGTTATAGGGAGAGCCTCTGAAGACTCCGATCCCGATGGTACGCGTGCCTGAACTCCACCCCCTCATCCCTCATGTCGCGATATAACGCTATTCAGCTTCGGAGATCTAACTAGTATGGCGAATTATAGATTCCAGCGAGGCAGGGTCCAAGGAGATCACAACCTCCTGGGCATTGTTTATCATGATCCTGTTGTTGATGTTCGCTCTCTTCACCAGCTACATCCTTCAGCAAAGGAAGATCCAAGCTGTCCATGAGACGGTTCTATCAATTTTTGCAGGTAGGCGATATCCTTGAGCGGCGCAGGCACGATCTCGAAATACACAAAGCTTCGTGCGGTTTGCGCAAATTGGTACGGACTTGCTAACGGTCGCCAGGGATGTTCGTTGGACTACTCATCCGTTTCACAGACTCTACCCTCCAAGACAGTGTCGCCTTCGACTACCAATTCTTCTTCAACCTCCTCCTTCCTCCGATTATTCTCGCCTCTGGTTATGAACTCCACCAGGCGAACTTCTTCCGACATATCGGCACGATTCTCACGTTCGCGTTCGCCGGTACCTTTATATCCGCAATCGTGCTCGGTCTAGTGCTATACCTATGGACACGGATCCCGCTGAGTGGGCTGAATATCTCTTTCGTCGAAGCTATTTCGGTCGGCGCAACTCTCTCCGCTACGGATCCAGTCACTATCCTAGCTATCTTCAACCTCTACAAGGTCGAGCCAAAGCTTTATACTATCATCTTTGGCGAGTCGATTCTGAACGATGCCATTGCCATCGTGCTCTTCGAGACAGCGCAGAGGTATCACGAGACCGGCGCCGCAGGCTCTTTGACCTTCCTGAATCTATTCGAGGCCGTGGGACTCTTTTTGCTCGTCTTCTTTGGTAGCATGGTTGTCGGAATGCTGGTTGGAATCGCTACCGCACTGGGTCTCAAATACACTCTCGTGCGGCGCTTGCCCAAGATCGAGAGCTGCTTGATTATTTTGATTGCATACGCCAGTTACTTCTTCTCTAATGGCGTGCACCTATCCGGAATTGTCTCGCTCTTGTTCTGTGGTATCACCCTCAAGCACTATGCTTACTATAACATGTCGCGTCGCACGCAGTTGACTACCAAATACCTGTTCCAGGTGATGGCTCAACTTTCTGAGAACTTCATCTTTATTTACCTCGGCCTTGACCTCTTCGTGGAGCCTAATCTCCAGTTTAACCCCTTGTTCATCATGGTGGCAGTGTTTGGTATCTGTCTCTCCCGCTACCTGGCGGTGTTCCCTCTTTCCAAGGCGATCAATTGGTTCATTCGGTACCGAGCACGCCGCCGTGGTGTGGAAGTTCCCGATGAGCTGCCATTTGCTTATCAAGCGATGCTCTTCTGGGCTGGATTGCGTGGTGCCGTCGGAGTTGCGCTAGCAGCTGGTCTCTCCGGAGTCAACGCCCCTGCACTTCGTGCGACAGTACTTGTCGTCGTTGTGCTGACTGTCATCATCTTCGGCGGAACCACAGCACGCATGTTGGAGATTCTGGGCATTCGCACGGGTGTAGTCGAAGAGCTTGACTCGGACGATGAATTCGACACCGAGGTGACCCATGGTGGCACCTACTACAAGCGCTCCGGTACGAGCCTGGGATATATCCCGCGACGCACCGACTCGGTGATCCCCTTGGATGGCGTCACCACTACCCCACGCCCTCAATCCGGGGACCGAGCACACAGCTACTCCAGCGGCAACAGTCGCCGCCCAAGCCCACCCTATACCCACACAAGAATGTACTCTGCCGCGTATGGCAACAAAGATCAGTCCTGGCGTGACCGCCAATCCGCCGCGACATTACTCAACGGTGCAGCTGGTCCGAGCGCCGGCGAAGGCAGCGACGACGAGTTTGGCCTGCCAACCTCAGGCCCCGGCCGCTCCAATGACCCCACCCACCCAGATGAGTTCGACCTCGATATCGAGGGCATCTCCGATGACGACCTCCCGCCAGCTGCAGGCGGAGCCTCGCGTCTCCGCCGATCCGCCTCTCAACCCCCTCAGCCTTCGTCCGGCCCACCCACAAATGCTGCGGCATCGACCAGCGTCTCGCCCACTCACCAGCCAGTAGGTATGTCTGCCCGCGACGCGGTGCGGGGTCTGTTTTCAGGCGGTGCTTCAGGCGACCATGCGGCTTGGTTCCGCCAGCTCGATGAGGACTATATCAAACCCACACTTTTGCTAGATCAGTCGAATCATAAGGGACCTGGGCCTGGTGCGGTTTGAGATGATGATACCTTGGAAGTGACTTCCATTTTTGTTTTTTCTTTGATCTGGGTGTATATTTAGCCTTTCTTGTTTGTTCTGCATTCTCATTGATGTTCTCCTTTTTGCGCATTTTTTGGCTTCCATACAAGGCCCGTCTGCATGAGCCTGTGTAATACGCGTTCCAAAACTTATAGAAGCCAACAAGACATCTTCCATTGGGAAGTACATGTCCTCTGTAAAAGTAATATCAAATTGAGTTTCTCCGCACTTTAGCATTATCCGTTACCCCACACTCTTCGGGATATCTCACCTTTTAAACCTGGAAGTGAAAGACGGTCAAAACTCCCAGAGATAATCCAAAACGTCTGAGACAAAGGAATGACAGCTTTGTCTCCGTCCATGGCGATTTAATAAACGTAAACACCTCAAGATAAGCGAATGCTTCGCCCTACACCCTACACCCGTGCGTCCCTATCTCTTCCTGTCTTATCGCCCACTCGGATCAGCGACAGCTATCTGTGTAGAGCAAGCTAAGCCTCGAATCATGTACGACGCCATGCTTGTTTTGGGCATATTTACGCCAATGCCTATCTTAGTCGTCCGACCCCTCTATATTAGCTTCCAGGCTTACGGTTATGCATTTATGTAGATAGAGGATTAGTGGGGCTTTTGCAGCTAGTCTCCCGCTGCTTTTATGAGTGTGTTTCATAGGGGTAGATGCCAGTACGGGCTAAGACCTGGTGATCTTCTGATATAACCATGGAGTAGCTACCTAGGTGCAAGTGAGTCGCGGAAACTGAGGTATCTCAGAGCGTATACACACTGGATTTTAGGCGGCACTCCTTTGTTCAAAAGAACCAGCTGGAAATAGCTAGGAACATTTCGTATTAGTCAAAGCCAAGTTAGCAACGCAAGGTCCCTCCCAATGTGCTCTTAATTAGAAAAGAAAGAGTGTTATATCAAAGGCGGACACTAAAAGGGCATAGAGGTGACAGTGAGGAAGAAGACGTTCCCCTACCTGAGACCTAGCACTGTGTCTTAGGAAGGTCTAGGAAGCAAGCGCGACATAATGATGATCAGTTCATGGTATATTAGTTTATTCTAGAATTGAACCTATTCATACTCATCCTCAACCTTATTCTTTTGCAAGGATACACTTCCTATGAGCTAGATACCTATAAATGCAGCCCAGAGATGCAGAATAAATGTATATCATAAGTTTTATATGTTTACATTGTACCCAAAGCCTAGGGTCCATATCCACAATCCGCCAAGCAACGGGTACGAGGCCGCTCTTTCCCCCGGCATAATCAGCTTGAATTGGCAATTTGGAACTGACTACTTCGTAAGAACATCCGAATACTTTCCAAGGGTTGGAAAAACACTGCCTACTTATATCATATACCGTGGTCCTAAATTATGCAACTTTAAGGAATTCAAAAGAGCTAGGTATTTCAATCATGATAAAGTTAGAGTTCTATAGATCTCTTATACATGTCAGCATATCTTCCAGCCAGAGCTGGAGTTCAAGATCATTTTACAACACTATCATCTAGAGGGCTAGCCAAGGAAGCAACCGCCATTACAGGTAACAGGGGAAATTGCATTCCACCCTAACGCCATAGTGACCTAGTCTTTTCACTGGAGTAGAAGAAAACCCACCAGATATAGTAGGACGGGATGAGCAGATAGTTACATCGGCATGTATGAAGAGCACAGTTGCCGAATAGGCAAGATCCAGAGGTTCAGCCAATCTACTCATACTCTAAGGACGGAACACTACTAGTCATCGACCCATGCAAGGACTGATCGCTCCATATAGAGGACAAATGCGGATATGGAGCCCAAGAAACAATATCAATTATGCCAAGGAGCTATTAGATACTATAGAACCCGTGTCTTAAGCTACGAAACAAGGCCAAGGATGCTCGGCTTAAAAAGGATATTGTAAGGTCTCAAGGAGACCCAGGAGGATTAGTAGATCTAATGGGTGAGTCTATGATAGCAAACTTTTGCACCTTTCCAGTGAGTGTCTTTTTCGTCGTGTTAAATTGGAGTTACATCCGAGTTCAAAATTTACCCTCTTTACCTACCCAGTTGCCGATTTCAAACTGGGAAATGCACGCTTGCCACTTCGCGATGAGAAGCTAGTCAGGGTGTCCTCATTTCCTCAAATATTGCCAAGTCTCCTACGGAGTAGAAGTGGGAGCTTCTGAAAGGTGCCAAGGTACGCTGCAGCCACGTGCTTGTTTCGGTCCTAAGCTCTGGATGGATTGACAAGATCAGAACCGGGTAACGATCGGGGGCATATCGGGAGGAGTGAGTCCAAGGCCACACATGGAGCGAATCATCCTAACGATCTTTCTAAGAAGCCAATAATAAGTCCAATAATCAAATACTTGTCTCAAATTCGCCATTGTTCTGATCCATATGTATAGGTTGATTAAGCTTACACAAGCGCAGTGCCCTGATAGTTATAGACTGGGGCTCAATGATCTATTCACGGTAGCTTGAATCCTGATTTTTCCCCATTATATACCGAGCTTATAGTCCCTGCCATGAGCCCCTGGACAACACGTACACTTTGACGTAGCATTGAGAAGTCGAAATACCGATTAAATATAGCAAACCCTAGAGAGGTGAAACAACGCGGCATTAGAAAAGGAAGCCTACTCCCTGATCAATGAGTGTATATTCCATCAGATCACTTTTTCATTTACACCAACTTGCTATTTCTTACAAAGTCGTTATCTATGCGTTTCTCAACTCTCTTCTTCACGGCAACCCTAGCCTCCTTTGCCGTTGCGCATGAGGGCCCTCACCGGCTGCCAACCGACAAGGAGTTTTCTCGCAAGGCGAATTTGTCTGCTCGTTGCTCGGAGCACGTTGCCAACTTCAACAAGCGACGTGTGAAGCGCGACTTCGATCCCCGGACCCGAGGCAATACCACTGTTCGGATCCAAACCCAAGCCCCTCTTTACGAGACGATTCAGAATGATACCTGTGTTCTCAGCCCTGAAATTACAGCCGGCCCCTACTACTGGCCGCACTCTCAAACACTCCGTCAAGATATGACAGAGACTCAGGATGGTATCCCTTTGTGGCTCGACATTGGCGTTTTGGATATGGCCACCTGCAAGCCGTTGAAAGATGTGATGGTTGACTTGTGGCACTGTAACGCCACAGGAAGCTACTCTAGCTTTACTGAGTTGTCACCTAACACCAAATTCCCGGACCTTCTCTCTGAACTTGGAAGAAATGTTTCAGACTTCGAAGTTGGCACCACCGACATCCACACCGACTCGCAAACCTGGCTGCGAGGAATGTGGCCAACCGATAAGCATGGAATGATGCAGATGAAGACCATTTTCCCAGGTGTGTCGTTTTTCCGATTATTTTTGTCACTTCTACAACCATTTACTAATGCAACTGCAATAGGATTCTACATTGAAAGAGCTATTCACATCCATGTCCAGGTCCACACAGACTGGACCACTCAGGAGAATGGCACTCTCGTCTTCGAGAACACTGTGAGCACTGGCCAACTGTATTTCGAGGAGGAACTCGAGAAAAAGCTCATGGCTCTTCAGCCATATGCCTCTCACACGCAGATCAACCGCACCCAGAATGACGTCGACATGGAGTTCTCTAAGGGTCTAACGAATGGTTATAACCCAGTCGTCTCTGTGGTTGCGGTTGACGATGATGACCTTAGCAAGGGATTGGTCGGATATATCACCATCGGTGTTGATACCACTGCAATTGAGGATGAGCATTGGTCCGCCTCATAGGCTTAAATGGCTCTTTCTGCTACTTGTATTGGAAAAAAAACATTTCTTAAATTCTGAAAGCACTATCCGAGGTTTGAATTTAGATTGATCGGGCTGTCAAATTTGAGGGAAGCATGAGCGCTTTGCGATCTATATTTACGGCTGTTTTATCCAAATGGCGAACGGAACTATGTCTGAGCGAATCATGTTGATTTAAAGGAAGCGGGAACCACCATTTCTGACTACCTAATTATTAATATGACTTATTTCATGGGAGACGGCCAAGTGTATATTTTGTCGAACTAAAGCCCGTAGCGCGACGTTGAAATGTGTTGACTGTTACCAGACAGTTATTTTAAAACCAAAAGAGTGCATTAGACCAAGACCGATAATTACTATTTGCACGTCTGTTTAAACTGCTATGTTATCTGGTATCTAATAGTTATACTATCTATAGTAATCTACATACTCCGTGCATAATCAGCGAAAAATGCTAGGTAAGAAGCGCTATACCCGAAGGAGTTTGAATAAGTATTATTTTATGCTCCATTCTGGAGGCCTGCTGGTGAAAAACGATAGATTTCTTGAATATTGAGATACAAGACATTCGAATTAATATACCAAATCTCTTTTGAGGGTAGTGTGTCTAAGGTCATGGAAATAACCCCTGATCACCTAGGCAACCCGTTCACAACCTAAACTTTGGCGTTCTGAATTCTACCCAGCGACGAAAAAGCAGCAAGGGATAAATCCAAAAAGGGGAAAGGGGAACATTTGCAGAGCAGACGACGTACCCATGTACTTCCCCGCTCCGCTAGCCGTCTCTAATCCAAGTGGATCTTCCTTGAAAAGAGAGATATGCAGGATGATGTGTGTACTCAGATTGGCTACAGATAGATCTAGCTATTTTGCATTCTAAAATCGTAAGGTATTTAATAGTACCTACGGAGTAGACCTTGACCACATGGCAAGGATCTGCGCTTCTTGCATCACCTCCTATCTGCCTCTTGAATCAGTGCTTATAGTACTCGCCTCCATCGAAATAATTTAAGATCCAAACCTTCTCTTTCTCTTTCGTCCCGAGGTCTTCATTTCCCTCAAATCTTAGGTATCACGCGTTCGATCGCGTTGGCAATTCGTTTGCCTATCTATAACCTCATTTCCTTCTATAACCATTACACGTACCCTAGCCATGGATGATATAATGGAGAAAGTGGCCTCCAAGACGAGCAAGAGGCGTCAATCCACGGGTCATGACTCGATGCCCCAGGCTGGAGATACCGAGCTGCTAGGTGTGTATATCGCGCAGCTCATTGTCAGAGCCTGTGTAACAATATGAGATCGTCGTCACTGACGGATCAACCAGCGACACTCGGGTACAAGCAGGAATTGCGACGTCATTATTCGACGCTTCAGATATTTGCTGTCGCTTTCAGTATTATGGGGCTGTTGCCTTCCATTGCGACGACGTTATCGTTCTCAATGCCCGCTGGTCCGGTGGGAATGGTTTGGGTAATATACTCCTCAGGCTGAAATTGATCGGCATTATGACTAACTGAATGGCTAGGGTATGCAACTGTCTTTCCAGGAGTATAGTTCTGGCAATTGTTAACAGGTTCTCTAAACAGGATGGTTGGTTGCAAGTTGCTTTATCTTTATTGTCAGCTTGGCAATGGTATGCTTTACTCAATCTAAAATTCTATACATCACAGAGCTAATAGCCATCAGGCAGATATAGCATCCGCAATGCCCACAGCAGGCGGACTCTACTTCTGGACGCATTACTTCGCATCCGAGAAATGGAAGAACCCACTCAGTTTCCTCGTCGGATATAGCAATACCATCGGCTTGATCGGAGGCATATGCTCAATTGACTGTCAGTCAGCCCATTTCCAAACTTCAACCTCAGACTCCCCCATAACTAATCAACACCTCCCCAAATCAGATGGTTTCGCCAGCATGCTCCTCTCAGTAATCTCCCTCGCCCGCGACGGCAACTGGTCCGCCACACGACCAGTCATCTACGGCACATACGCAGCAACAGTCTTCGCACACGGCTTCATCGCTATCTTCTTCGGCCGGATGATGCCAAGAATCCAATCCGCCTGTATCTTCCTCAACATCGCTCTCGTGGTAGCAACCGTCATCGCCCTACCCCTGGGCAAAGCAAAGAACAGCCCGCCAGTCAACTCGGGCTCGTATGTCTTCGGCGATGTAGAGAACCTCACTACCTGGCCCACCGGCTGGGCATTTATCATGGCGTGGCTGTCGCCCATCTGGACTATTGGCGCGTTCGATTCCTGCGTGCATATGAGCGAGGAGGCGACACATGCTGCGCGCGCTGTTCCGCTGGGAATTATCTCTTCTGCTGGATTGTGTGGTATTCTTGGGTTTGTTTCGTTGGCGGTTATTGCGTCTTCAATGGATAAGAATATTGATGGGATTTTGAATTCAAAGTTCGGACAGCCGATGACTCAGGTTTGTTCTTTGTCTTGCGTCTTGTGTTGCTCTTTTATGTTGGGATGTACTTTCTAATCTGGATTCACTATAGATCTACTACGACGCCCTCGGCAAAAACGGAGCCATGGGATTCATGGTCGTGGTGATGATTGTCCAATTCTTCATGGGACTGAGCATTGTAAGTCCCTCCCCGTCTGTTAATTAACACCAAAATCCTAAAAACCAATACGCTAACCCCCCACCCAGGTCCTAGCCGCCTCCCGCCAAAGCTGGGCCTTCTCTCGCGACGGCGCCCTCCCACTATCCTCCTTCTTCCGCAAAGTAAGCCAGCGCAAGTTCATGCGCTACCAGCCTGTCCGCATGGTGTGCGGTATAGTTGTCGCATCGGTACTGATCGGCCTCCTCTGTCTAATCGACGAAGCCGCCTCCAGCGCCCTCTTCTCGCTCGCCGTAGCGGGTAACGACCTCGCATGGCTAACGCCCATCCTGGCGCGTCTAATCTGGGGCGGTGATAGCTTCATTCCCGGTGAGTTCTATACGGGGAGGTTCAGTAAGCCCATTGGGTGGGTTGCGGTCATCTATATGGTGTTCGTTATTGTTCTTACTATGATTCCTACCGAGGGGCCGAATCCGACGCGTGAGTTTGATCTATGCTATTTTGTGACTGGTGCTTTTGCTGACTTGGTATTTGAAGCTCAAACGATGAATTATACCGTTGTTATCAATGGGAGTCTTTGGCTTGGGGCGGTGGTTTATTATTATGTTCATGCTAGGAAGACGTATAGGGGTCCTCAGACTACTGTTAGTCCGGAGGATGAGGGGAAGAATCTGGAGCAGGATTCTAGATAGTTGGGAAGATATAGATAGACTGTGGCTCTTGAGATGGGATCTATAATATGTTAGGCGAGCCTCTGTCGTTCATGTCGATATATTAAGTTCATATGTACCTAATACAAGAGGTGAAGGGTTTCTACTCTATCCCTATTAGGTAGAGAGCCACTGGATATTTCAGATTTCAAATTATCGTATTGTATTTCAATTATTGCTAATCACCCTTGCACCAGGGCTAAAAAATTGTCGCTATGGACATCACTTCGTTTCTTCTTCGTTTCTAAAAAGCAAATTCTCTCCAGGTCTCGCTCAGACTCAATGCATAGGTAACGATACATCTATTCAGGAATCTCGAGAACGTAGCGGCCAACGATCTTTCCTTGCTCTATTTTGCATTAGTATATGGTCAATATCAAGTGATAGGAACAGCCGAAACTTACTCATGAGCTCAAACACCTCCGGCAGCTCCTTGAGAGGAACAGTCTTGAAAGGAGCGTTGATCAAACCACGCGCGAAGAATTCGACGGCCTCCTCGCCGTCCTGGCGGTTACCGACGTAGCTGCCCTTAATGGTGATCATCTTGACAACGGTTTCGAAAACAGGGGCCTTGAGGAACGCATTGGCGGGCAGGCCAATGGCCACAATAGTACCGCGAGAGCGAGCGTATTCGACAGCCTGCTGGAAAGGCTTCTCAGAGACAGCAAGCAAGAGCACGGCGTGGGCACCCAGGCCACCGGGGGTAGCAGCCCTGACATCTGCAACGAGGTCGGTAGACTTGGTGAAGTCGATATAGGTCTAAACGCTATATTAGCATTTCCTCAAAAGTAAACCGAGGGAATAGGAAAAAAAAAACTTACCTCTGCACCAAGCTGCTCACACATAGCCCTCTTTTCTTCGCCGCCGTCAATAGCGATAACGCGCAGGCCCATAGCCTTAGCATACTGCTGTCCAAGCGATCCAAGACCACCACCAGCACCAACAATCGCAACCGTCTGACCAGGGCGCGCACCGGACTCCTTGAGACCCTTGTAGACAGTGATACCAGCACACAGAATGGGCGCAATAGCATCAAGTGGGATGTCCTTGGACAGTTTCGACACGTGCGCCGCCTTACCAATCGCGTACTGCTGGAAGGTGCCGTCAACCGTGTATCCGGACAGACGGGCATCGGGACACAGGGGCTCGTCGGAGGTCTCGCAGAACTCGCACGAGAGACAGGATCCGTTGAGCCATTTGATGCCTGCGTGATCGCCGATTTCGATACCCTGCACGAGAGAGCCCTTTGCGACAACAACTCCGGCGCCTTCGTGGCCGCCGACCAGGTTCTCCTTCACGGTGAGGGGCCAGTCGCCGTTCATGGCGTGGAGATCGGTGTGGCAGACACCGGTGTACTTCATCTTGACGAGGACTTCATCGGGGCCCGGCTTGGGGACGGGGATTTGCTTGTACACGGGTGGTCCGCCTCGCTGTTCGACGACTTGCGCCCACTGGGTCTCGGGGATTTCGAATGTTTCGGACATCTTGGAGGGGGAATATGTGAGGGTAAGATTAAGATAAGAATAGGGTGAGGGTTGTGAGGGCAGCAAATTAAACGTATTAAATGTGATGTTGTAAAAAGATAATGTTACGCAGAAGGTTAAGTGACTGTCTTCTTATAGTAGCTCAGCGCATTGCCTGATCGGAGCATCGACCTCTTTGACTCAATCATGGAATCAAGGCGGGTTTCGGTAAGTTTAGGGCATCTGGTGTCATAATCTCAATAATAACCTTGGAATAGTCCTACGGAGTACTCCGTAGAGATTACCGACATACTAGTGAACTACTCCGTAACATGTTGGGTATCCACTTCGGCTTCCCGTTTGCGGTATATAACACTACACAATGCAACGGCTATCTAGATCTTCCCTAATTAGGCTAGATATACTCCGTGATGGTCTATCCCCATCGCTACATTATTATACATACATACATATAGGTATTTGGGGAAATACAAGGGTCTAACCCCTATCAGCTTACTTGCATATTAAAACCAAGCTTGGGATGAACCCCTTTGGGCAAAAGAACGATAGAGTTGGATATTAGAAAATGGAAACCGATAGAAGATGACGATGACAGGAGATGTCAGGAGGCAATTGTACCATTTCCAAGATTGTGTCCACGTTGTCCACTAGAATAAGAGTGGAAGACGTCATCAATCAGGATCAGGCCATAAGAGATTGAGATATTTACTTTCACCGGTGAATGTTATAGTGTAGTGTTATTTTGCAGTCAAGTATTTATTATCTTAATATCTAAATATCTAAATTTCCAAATATATAAAGTGTCTCGAAATCTCTACACATACAGTACAAAGCTCTTTCTTTCTTTTTTGCACTTGTAGATGTATTTAGTTTTCCCTTCAGTGGGGAACTCGACGATATGAGATCGGAGGTTTGAGTTGAGGCTATGCATTCCCTAGAGTTCTTTAAATTGATTCTCCCAAGGTAGATGTTTTATAGATCTGCATTATATATATGTGTGAAATAGTTTGCATTCTCATTGGAGGGTTGGGGTTATAAGCATGTAATGTGCACAAGGAGTCACCTGGACAACCTCTTATATTAAAGTCATTCTACTTGATTTAATGATTGTAGTGATGTATATAAGATATATCATCAAGCTATCATTTAATCCAAGCTCTAAAATACGTACCAAATACAAAAATAGGCAGATTATCATGAATTCCGAGTCTTCACCTGGGCATAGTCTCTACAGAAAAGGTGGATAAGGCGATTCCACGATAAACTCGGATCAACAGATTTCAAGTCAAATCAGAAAGGACTCGTTAACTACCTTCGATCTTTATTCCAGAAATCAGAACTCGAAATATTAGAAAATATGAGGAAACATTTGGAAAATATTTGAAAAACATCGCATGTTGATTGATCGCCCTCACCACCTCTGTGCTCCACGAGGGGTTTGTATGGACTCTGGAGTGAGATCGGGGCACAACCTTGGAATTATCAACCAGCCAGAAAAAGAAAAATGATATAGAACAATATGAAAGAGTTAAAATGGTCATCTAAACTAGAAAAACCAACTATAGTCACTATAAACAGCTTGTTCGGATCTAACCCCCGGGATGCCGGAGTGGAAATACCCCAGACACGAGGAAAGAGATTCACGAGAAATGCCAAATCTCGTCCACCTTGTCCCCTTTTGACCTTTACGACTTTGTTTCTCCAATCTTTTTCACTTTCAACTTCCACTTTCTTCTTCAGTAATTCCCCACCCATTTCCTCATCTCTCCCTTCTCATCCTCATCCCCATCGCCCCTGCATCAGCTCGCCTAGACCCGCGCATTCTCTTTCTTGGGCTCCACGGAAACTTCCCTTCTTCCTGCATCTTCCCACCACAAACGAATCCATCCCTCCATCAGGTATTTATGTCTTGCTTTCTTCCTCCATCTCTCTCTCTTTCATCCCTCTTCACTCCGAAACAAATACCGGTAACCAACTGACGCCGCGTCACTAGACGAAACCCCCCTTGACAGGTGTCTCTGAGCAGGGGTCTTGGACTTCTTTCTTCCTCAATTCTCTCCCCAGATTCTAGCTCGACCCGAGTGACCGAACTTCGACGCGCTCGACCCGTAACCGGGGACCGCGGCCATCATGACGGGCCCTCCGCCATACAACGCGCAGTCCCCGACTCAGCAGCAGCGGTATCCGGCCTACACCTCTCCGAATAAGAACCACCCGTATTACCCAGGTAATGAACAACCACAACCGCCACAGCAATACCACCAGCATCCTCCGCAGACCCCACCCGCCTTTGGCCCACCCTCCGTCGCGCGAAGTCCGCACTTTTCGCACGCGTCCCCGATGCCATCTACATTACCGCCGCCCTTGAACGGGAGTGCGCCACCTCACCCGTCTCACCCGGAGCCCTCACAATACCAGGGACATTCGGCTGGTTCTCAGCTACCACTTCCACGCCCTTACTCCAGCTCCGTGATCACGGGCAACGGTGCCTCGCCGTACGGCTCTGCGACACCCCATGGTCATCCGCCCAGCCACCCAGAAGGTCATTCGCAATCTCCTACTAGGGAGTCCGAATCCCCATATCGGATGCGAGGTAATGGAGCTGGATATGGACCTCCGATGATGCGGGAGCCGAGACCGGCCTCGCCGCAGGAAGCGGTAAGCATTACCCAGGCCCTCCCCCAACATACTAACATTTACTAATCCATCCTTCCCTCACAGAAGCCCGCCCGAGCCGCAGACCCCATGTCGTTCGCCAGCATTCTTTCAGGCCCCTCGGACGAGCAGCCTGCGAGAAAGCCATCGCCTCTTCCGGCCCCCATCTCTGTCCACACGCCGCATCCTCCCCCCGTCTTTACACACCGGCACCTAGATCACAATTCTACGCCCGCAGCTGTGCATCACAGACACGAGCACCGATCGGATTATGAGAAACGTATCGATGTCCCGAGAGCACCACAGGCCACCAATGGGTTCGTCAAGCCCGAGGCGGAACACCCTGCGCCCGTTCCTCGTGCACCGCTTCGGAAACCATTCCCACCCGGTGTGGACCTGGAGCAGGTTAACCGGGCTGCGGCCGAGATCGATCACGCGGAAAAGAGCGACGTTGAAGACCCTGCCTTCGACGCGGAACAGGAACGGTATCGGGAGAAAGGCTACAAGCGGTCGGTAGAAAGCAGCCGCGCAGAGGAAGTGCGACGAAAGGTAGGTTATCTGAAAGTCGTTTTTATATCCAGCCAATCGTTGATACTAACATATGCTCAGCGTCGCCGCAATGAGTTCCTCATCGATCTAGGCAGATCCTTCGAAAGACAAGCCATTCTTGGCACCGAACGATTCCGAGTGCTCAACGAGGGTGCTGTCATGGCCGAAGTTCAACAAAAGGAGATCCAAGATGAAAAAGAACGGAAGAAGGACATGCAGCGCAAGCGCCGTCGCGAGAACACTGTGCGCCAAGAAATGCAAAAGAAGCTGGAGGCTGAGCGAAAGGCAAGCAAGGCCCAGGAACCCGGAGAAAGGGCCAAGTTCCTGCGCGAAGCCGAGCGGGCTCAGAAGAAAATCCGCACCACCAAGCGCGCTCTGGAGGGCGGCGATGGCCATGATGAGCTCGGTGAGGTCACCCCGCTTGCTCCTAACCTCGAAGGGGGGACGACTAGTCAATTCCATATCGGCCGTTCCTCACCCAGCCGACGCAGGTCAGGCCGCGCCGGGCCTGTCACCCGCCCCAAGAAGTCCAAGGAGCAGAAGCAGGCCGAGAAGGATCTCGCCGAGGCAGCTTGGAACGCTGGTTTGGACGACGACCTGTATCTTACCCCAAGCACGAGAAAGGATGCTCGACGCTCAAAGGAGGGTACCCCCATTTCGCAGTTGCACTACGACAGCAAGGGCTACAACCAGATCTACGAACAGATTTGGCGCGATATCGCGCGCAAGGATATTCCAAAGGTCTATCGCATCAAAACCACCTCCCTCTCCACCCGTCAGGAGAATTTGCGCAAGACGGCCCAGTTGGCCAGCAAGCAGTCTCGCAAGTGGCAAGAGCGCACGAACAAGAGCACCAAGGATACCCAAGCTCGTGCCAAGCGGACGATGCGCGAAATGATGTCTTTCTGGAAACGCAACGAGCGTGAGGAACGTGACTTGCGCCGTGTGGCTGAGAAGCAAGAGCTTGAATCGGCCAAGAAGGCAGAGGCGGACCGCGAAGCCAACCGACAGAAGCGCAAGCTCAACTTCCTTATCTCGCAAACAGAACTGTACTCTCACTTCATCGGGCGCAAGATTAAGACCGACGAAGCTCAAGGAGACGGCGCTGTTGCTGCCACCGGGGAGACCGTTCAACCGGGCAAGCCAAACGCCCATACAATTAATCTTCCAGACAGTGTGGCCAATCCCAACGCCAAGACCACTGCATTCGAGGATCTTGACTTCGATGCTGAAGATGAAACCGTGCTGCAACAAGCTGCCATGGCTAATGCGCAAAACGCTGTGCAGGAAGCCCAGGACCGTGCCCGCGCCTTCAACAACCAAGGAGAGGGTGATAATATGGCTGCATTCGACGACGGAGAGATGAACTTCCAGAACCCGACCAGCCTGGGTGACATTGAGATTTCGCAGCCGACCATGTTGAATGCCCAGCTCAAAGAGTACCAGCTTAAGGGTCTTAACTGGCTTGTCAACTTGTACGAACAGGGCATCAACGGTATCCTGGCAGATGAGATGGGTCTCGGTAAAACCATCCAGTCCATTTCTGTTATGGCTTACTTGGCTGAGGTCCATAACATTTGGGGTCCTTTCCTGGTTATCGCGCCAGCATCCACACTGCACAACTGGCAGCAGGAGATTACAAGGTTCGTCCCGAACATCAAGGTACTTCCCTACTGGGGTAATGCCAAGGACCGCAAGATCCTGCGAAAGTTCTGGGATCGCAAGCACATCACCTATAACCGCGACTCAGAATTCCACGTTCTAGTCACCTCGTACCAGCTTGTCGTTCTTGACGC